ATCATATCTTTGATCGGGATTGTCTCAAACTTGCGAAATTGCACTCGGACGCCGACGAGTATCCCAAAACGGACAAGTTGAGACTCTCCGTCCTATTCGTCATCTGTCGATTGTTACAACCCGCAGCGGGTGGCGGTCGAAACCATTCCCAAACCAAAGTCACGCTCCAAAACAGACTGGCATGCACCCGAGCTGCATGCGAACATGGGCTAGTATGGAATTAGAAAAGGGCGGCGCCCAGCTTATGACCAGGCAGATGAGTACTATCCCAGCCAGCGAGCCATGGGAAACTTTTCCGAGCCATCGATTTGGGCGAAATCCAGGCAGACTCGTTATCTCCGGCAGACTCGGTATCTCCGGCGGAACGGCGTCGGCTGCGAGCAGGGGCTCGACCTCGTCGCGACATACAAGTCTTGACCAGTGCCCTCGAGCAAACCGGATAGAAGATCCTATCCTGCACGCCCTTAGACCGATCGTCAAGCGACACACTCGCGTCGGAACAGATAAAGGCCATCGGATTTTTCGTGACATCGCACAGATCTTCAGCCGTTACACCTCGGAGCTGCAATCCATCTGTGTCCTCGCACACGGTATCGCACGGGCGAGCTGCCCTCCTCTCCGAGGAGAAGGCGGTTGTGGGCACAATCATTGCCAAGACTTCTCAGCCACGGAAGAGATCTGTGCGTGCCACTTTCTGAACTGCCGGCTAGATCTCACCGGGCCATCTATCCAGAACCTGATCTCCACTCCGCGAGAAAGGACGGACATGCTTGTCCAGGGCGTCAAGGAAGAGCAGCTGGAGGATGACGCCGTGGGATGGGCCGAGGTGTTGCGCCGTGGCTGGCTATCTCTCGAGCTGGCTGTCACTGAGCGGAATGCATTTGGCGCACAAAGTTTCATATGGATTGCACTGGCAGTCATTTTGAAACAGTGAAGGAGCTGGAAGATGAGGCCAGGATTACTGAACGAATGACCGCCGGAACTCGTCACGCAATGTGATCCTAGTCCTCGTTCCTGAGCAATCCTTCTAGCCAGCGCGTATACTGTACACGATAGAACACAAAACAACAATACATTATGATTCCTGAGAACTGTTACCATACGTTAACGATTTTCTCGAAAAGAAGTAGCTTGAACTCACTCAGAATAACAGAATCACCTCTGGATCACGGTCAGAATCAAACCCTCGAGCGTGGACCAAGGGTACATACCGGAGGAACATCTTGCTGATGAACCGGTCCTTGTTCACGGGCTTCTTGTTGTTGCCTTTTGGTACTTCTGTCCACATCTAGATGCGGTTGTGGGTCTAAAATATCCGTGAACGCGGCATAACACACCTCTTTCACATTTTCGAGGACCTTGGAACAGAGTCAATTCCAGTCAGACTTGAGCATCTAGAAGACGCACCATGTTGCTGTGTCTATCGAATGCTTTGACCCGAGCCAAGAGTTTTTGTCGTTCCGCAAGGAAATCAGGACTTGAGCATGGTTTCGGACGGCTTGTTGAAGTACGGACAGAGGGCCTTGCGAGATCTCGTGTTCCTCTAACTGACGAAGCTGAGCTTCGTCCAGCTCGGATTTCGGGACGTGGACGTATTGACTATGAAAGCGATTAGTGCCCAGTCCAGTGGAAAGGCGCGTGTCTTCACCTCATAAGTGGAGGATGAAGCAGGGAGCGTGCTGGTGTTTGGCTCAATCACGATCGCCTAACAAAGTGTTTTCCAGATTGGGAAAAATATCATTCTCCTCCGTCCATGGGTCGTTTGCGGCAAAAAGGAAAGGCTGGCGCAGCGAAGGCATACGTTACTCGCTCGGCGGCCATTAAAAAGCTTCAGTGCTCTCTAGCGGATTTCCGTCGGCTATGCATCCTCAAGGGTATGCTTGAGCTCAATGTTTCTTGAATCGGCTCTTACTTTTTGACTGCAGGTATCTTCCCCCGGGAACCCAAAAGCAGGAAGCGGGCTAACAAGGGATCGTCCGCCCCGACATCCTTCTACTACGCCAAAGACATCGCCTACCTTGCCCATGAACCAGTATTGAAAAAATTGCGAGAACACAAGGCTTTCGCCAAAAAACTTTCTCGAGCACTGGGACGGGGAGAGTGGGGAGACGCGAAGACATTGGAGGAGAACAAGCCGGTGTACAGATTGGACCATATCATCAAGGAGCGGTGCGTCGCGATTCACCTTCCTCTAACTTGCATTTCAATCGGAAGCTTAAGATATCCAACCTTCATCGACGCCGTCCGGGACATCGACGATGCGCTTTGCATGGCCTTCTTGTTTGCTTCATTACCTTCCAATCCTCGACTGCCTGCATCTCTGACGGAGAACTGTGCTCGTCTCGCTGCAGAGTGGCAGCTGTACGTGATGCACACACGATCGCTGCGCAAAGTTTTCCTTTCCATTAAGGGTGTGTATTACCAGGCGGAAGTCTGTGATCAGACCGTAACATGGCTTGTGCCCTATCAATTTACCCAGACTGTGCGCGCTTCCCTGGTATTCTCTGCGCTCTGATTGAACTTAAGATTTGCAGATCCCTTCAGATGTGGACGTTCGTGTCATGCTCACATTCCTCGAGCTCTACCAAACCCTTCTCGGCTTCGTATGCTTCAAGCTGTATACCGATGTTGGTCTCGTCTACCCGCCCCCCTTGGACAATACCAAGGACGAAACTGGAGCCGGGGTCGGTGCTTTCAATCTGCAAAACGCGGGTCAGGTGACTGCGCCATCGGTTTCGAAGACCAAGGTCGTCGAGGTCGAGGGCCGCAAGATCTCGAGCAAGGATGTCCGTCAGGCAATCAAGAGCATGGCTGGTGCAGAGACAGATGAGGCGGAGGACACCATTCCCGATGCGAATGAAATGGATGTGGATGAAGCTGACGAGGAGTTCGTACCCCAACAATCCACATCGGAGCCCCAGACGACAGCCCCGTTACCGACTCTGAAGGCATTGGAGGCTCTCCCTCAAAGCCTGACGACGTCACTCTTCTCCCCATACTCGTTTTGGCTTTCAAGGGAAACGTCAAGGCCAATCTTCGAATTTCTCATCCGTTCGTTTGGTGGCCGAATAGGCTGGCCTTCATCCTCTGGCAGCGGCTCTCCCTTCGACGAGTCAGACGAGTCGATCACCCACGTCATCATCGACCGACCTGTGGTTGAAAGGACAAATGAGACCGCAGAAGAGCGGGAGCGACGGCTGAGGAGAAAATACGTCCAGCCCCAGTGGGTTGTCGATTGCATCAATGCTGGGAAGATCCTGCTCGAGGAACCCTATTTGCAGGGCAGCACGCTGCCCCCTCACCTGAGTCCCTTTGGGGAGTACCAGGGCGCGTATGATCCGAGCTCTGCTGCCGCTGTCGGTGTCGAGGAGGACCTCGAGAGTGAGGTTGAAGATGATGCCGTCATGGAGGAGGACGAAGATCAGAGTGCTGAGAAGTCAGCCTTACGCGCAGCTGCCGCTGCCACGGACGACGCAGCTCTTCGTGCAGCCGAACTCGCGGCTGAGGCTGCCGGCGTCGACTACGGCGATTTCGAGAAGGAGGTCCGCAAGTCCCGCAAGAAGACAAGTGCGCCCAAGGAGACTGGCGACGAAGCTGAGAAGGACATGAACAAGATGATGATGAGCAACAAACAAAAGAAGCTGTACGAGAAGATGAAGTACAGTCAGAACAAGAAAACAGCTGAGGTACTGCATGCCACTTCGACCCTGGATTCATCACTGATCGCTCTTTGCAGCGTACAAATCTGGAGGAAAAGAAGCGCAAGTTAGTGAAGAACGCGCGGCGGGAGGCCAAAGCAGGCTAGATACAGTAGACTTGTCGTATTCCTCCATTCATTCTCTCGCTGTGGTGGCCGTGCCTGAGACTGGAACCGGCAGCCGTCTGACGTATCTGGACTGACGAATGCGGTAACTTTGATGCCACCGCTTGTCAGGCTACTGCCGTTCCTGGTCTGCCACTTCCTTGCTTGTCTACTGCATGGGTCGTTTCTCTCTCGGGCAGGGCAACGCTCAAGATACTCCTCCACCGTACAAGGACGCTTCGCCCCCGCTCCTTGTGACCGAAACAACGACGACGACTCAAGTCCTGACGACGACAACTACCCATACCACTCATTTCTTTTCGCTCCCGCTCTGGAAGAAGCGACCATTAGCGGCGAGCTCCTCGTCCCCAACGAATAGGGACAGCGTGGACCGCAGACCGACGGAGGATGGAAGGCTGCGGCGAGAGCGCTTTCGGAGAAAGATCTTCCTCCCACCCCTCCAGAGGATCCATTTGTGCCCGATACACCGAGACCCCGCAACGACTCGGCCCATTCATACCGTGACGACTCGCCTGTACCCTCCCTATCCGCAAGCATCAGTTCCAGGAAGTCCCTCGCTTCATCGCAACCAACCGCGATCCTTGCGCGAGCATCATTTGGCCTTGGTCTCCCTCATGCGTTGCGCGACCCATCGTCCTCGGCGTCCTCGGCAACCTCCGACATTAACACCGTCGCATTCCTTACGCCACCTGAAATGGACTCGCGTCGGAGGTCTATACAGACTCCACGCCGTGCCAAAAGCTCAACTAAGCTTCGGGCGATGTCGTCTCTATATGAGCCGGGGATGGAGTTGGAGGGATCGCACTCGGAGGGTGCAAAAGGCCGGATTCGCGGTGTTTCACTGGGCAATACCGCAATTCTGAATTCGGGCTACCCTGATATCAAGGGCAAAGGGAAGGAAGTAGAGGAAGCGGCCCCGTCCCCGATGCCCAAGCCAGCGCTCGTCCGAAGAGCCTCCTTCTGGTCGCGCAAGAAGTCTACTCCTGCAGATACCGCGCTACCGGCCCATGTAGAGCAGCTGTACCTGCAGCCCTCGCCGCCTCCGACATTGCCTTCCGTTTCACCGCTGAGCCCGTTTACGTTTGACGATTTACATATGACATCGTCATCTTCTCGCACTAAGCATTCTCGCGGGCTATCGAGAAGCCACTCCGAGCGGTCCAATGTCATGGCACAGCCTTCTCCGATGACAGAAATGGCGCAACCGATCCTGCGCAAGCCATCGCGCCGACCGGCTACAGCGGACCCGTCCACTCGCAGCCCGACTACCTTGTTGAACTCTATACCGTCGCAACCACCTCCACTTCCACCACAACCTGATTCGTCGACGCTGTCTCCCGGGCCCAGTCGCCGCCCGCGCTCTCAGACGAATCCTCCGTTACTTCACAGATTGTCGCTGAATCTATTTTCCTCATCAAACTCGCCGTCCGCGCTGCCCCAGAGCCCCTTACACGATTCACCGATCAGCTCACCCATGGACTCTCCTCGGGCTTCTTTGCACAAGCCTGTCGTGATTCCAAAACCAGAAACAGAACACGAGTCTCCCGAGATCTATCTCAATCGTTTACTGCAAGCGGTCAGCAAGGCCGAAGTGGCCGGGATCCTGGCGTCGAGGTGTGTCACGAATTTGCCGTTTTAGGATCTTTGACTGATACCAGCAGTCCCGATCCTTTCTATGCCCAAGCGCTCCGGGCGTACATAGGTCATTTTGCTTTTGCTGAGGACCCGCTTGACATCGCTCTACGCAAGCTGCTGATGCACGTCGGACTTCCTCGGGAGACGCAGCAGATCGACCGAGTGATGGAAGCTTTTGCTAGTCGGTACCGCGAATGCAACCCGAATCTCTTCACCTCGGAAGGTACTAGAACATCTTTTTGACCCTGCAGCCCACTAACTCGAAGCGCAGACCATCCCTACATCCTCGCGTTCAGTCTGATCATGCTCCATACCGATGCCTTCAACAAATCTAACAAGCGAAAGATGACCAAAGCCGACTATATCAAGAATACCAAACTTCCCGGCATCCATGCCGAGGTCCTCGATGTTAGTGCATGCTTTCTCGCATAGCGAAACGCCGTGCTCATCCGAACGTAGTGCTTTTACGACAACATAGTTGTTACGCCATTCATTTTCATCGAGGATCCTTTGGATGTCAACGGACAACGCGGGATTCTGTCCGATGGCACGCCGACTCGCAGCCATTCCATGGGCCACCCCCTTTCTGTCTCGTCATCTGGCTCGCTCCTCCTCTCCAAATCCAACAAAGTCGACCCATATTATCTCATTGCTAATGTTAGTCGAGTCCCTCTTTGATCTGAAAGTGCTTGCTCAAGAGATGTATCAGAATCTGCTCGGTCCACTGCGCGTTGACGTCGAGTCTTACATCCCTCGGGAGAATCCATATCTATTCCGAGGAACGGCTGGTCGCTGGGACGAGCAAGAGCTGCAACTCGCTTTTGCGAAAGCGAGTGTGATCGAACTTGGCACGGAGATCAACATCAGGAGCACTGGAATGCTGAACCTTGGCCCTGCTGGTACGGTTTCGCCGACACCGTTATCTGTGTATTCGGATATCTCGGTGCCTTCGAACGAGATTTCGACACTGCGGGTAACCAAAGTTGGTGTTCTTCACCGGAAGGATGACACGCTGGAAGGCGGCAAGAAGTCTGCCAACCGCAAGTGGAAGTCTTGGAGTGTCATCCTCACCGGGTCGCAGCTGCTCTTCTTTCGCGATCCAGCCTGGGCAGTGGGGCTTCTGGCACAAGCGCAGTCACCCCACTCTCCCGAGACGCAGTTCATATATCCTCAGACCGCTTTCAAGCCCGACGAGTTGATGTCTGTGAAAGATGCGATCGCCGTGTTTGACAAGTCCTATGTCAAACATGACCATACTCTCCGGCTGGTCATGGCCGAGGGACGTCAATTTATGCTTCAGGCTGCAGATGACCGAGAAATGAACGAGTGGATTTCACGCATAAACTATGCGAGCGCATTCAAGACTGCGGGTGTGCGCATGCGTCCCTTGGCGATGACTGGGAAAGATGTGCATCTCACGGGAGTTGCAGCCGCCACATCACATCTCCATGACTTGCAGCATGCGCAAACAGCAGCTCATCGGTCTCGTATGTGGGACAGCCAAACCACGCCTCGCGAGCTGATGGACATGATGTCTGAAGTACCCTCGCCCACCAAACAGCGGCCCATTCCTCGTCGGCGCTTGACCATAGCCAGCATCGACGAAGTCGATCTCGACGTTCCAACGGCCCCGGAAGTGGATGGCGCAGATCAATTCAAGGCGACTTTTGATCAAGTCAAAGCTGCCCTCGCTGCGGGCAAATGGGCCGACACCGACTCGCCCACGTTCGAGGACTTTTCGCCGTCCTCGTCACCCAGCATATCTAGACTACCGTCCCGGTCGCACATCATCCAGACCAAAATCCGAGATCTAGATGCTAAAATGTCAGCCACGCAAACTCAGCTGGACTCGGACCTGCGATTTGTTCGCAATATTGGCACACTCACGCCGTTCCAGCGGTCAACCCGGGATAGATTGGTCATCTCGGTGCAGAACATGGCTAAACGTGTCATGCAGGGCCGGCTCGAGCTCGCGAAGCTGACCTGTCACCGGCAGGTGTTGGCGAGTGATCTCACTGCCGAGAGTCAGGACTGGAATCAGGCGAGAAAACTTGCCTTGAAGGCCGCCACGGAAACTCTCCAGATTCGCAACAGCGGTGATGAACCTACGGACGAGACTGAGCCCGAAGCCGGCCATCGCCGGTCGCTGGCATCCTCCCATCGACCGGACTCCACGGCCGACTCTTTCCATTCTGCACTCGACTTTAATGATGAAGTGGCGTCCCCCGCTTCTTGGCCGCCAACATGCGGATCGACACGACGTCAAGCTCGCCGCGCAGCAGCGCAGCCTCCGCCAATTCACTCTCCTTTTTCGATGCCTCTTCTCCCGATACCAGTCGGGTTTCGCTCTCTGCTGGGCCAGCCGACAGTCCGCAAGAAGCCTCCGGCTCGCACGAAAAGTTTTACACAGCCCTCGAAAGCCCAGAAGCGGCTGAGGAATGGGACCAGACGAGATGCGCCCAGCGCGTCTCTCTCGTGCGCGTGCCTTCGGACTTTCGCATACGCTATCAAAAAAGACCCCCTAATCCATAACCTATCGTTTTATAATCCTATCGTTATTGCATGTATCCATCCACCTTGTTTGTACAGAGGCATTTGACACGCTAAGCACCCTCAATAAGGCTGGCGCACGTGACCGTTCTCGACATGATGTCGGACACTTCCTCCAGGAAAAGATCCAAGTGGGACGAAGATGATGACGAGCCTCCAGTCGCTAGCCCACCCCCATTGAAACGGCGCACGAAACACAAGGCAACTTCTCACGCCGAAGCTCAGACGCGATCTCAGACCCCTTCTACCTCGACTGTCCGTCCCAACCCAGTTCTTTCGACACACAGTCGCTTTGTACCGCCACGCACCCACCATCCTCCCATAGCACCGTCCCGGTCCGTATATTGCTACGAGCGACTGAATCAGATCGAGGAGGGCTCGTATGGGGTGGTGTTCCGGGCACGGGATAAACAGACGGGGGACATCGTCGCGTTGAAGAAGCTGAAGCTGGACGAGGAAAAGAGCGGGTTCCCCATCACGGCTCTGCGCGAAGTGAACGCCCTCATGTCGTGTCGGCACGAGAACGTCGTCGGGATACGGGAGGTCGTGGTCGGTGACACCCTCACGCAGTGCGTAGTATCTCTCTCTCTCTGCGGTGGTTTCGTGAGATGACATGACCCCGAAGAGTTTTCGTGGTGATGGACTTCATAGAGCACGACCTCAAGTCCTTGCTCACCCAGATGCCTGCGCCATTCCTCCAATCTGAAATCAAGACGCTCTTGATGCAGCTGTTATCTGCTGTCGCACACTGTCATGATAACTGGATATTGCACCGGGATTTGAAGACGAGCAATTTGTTGATGAACAACCGTGGCACGATCAAAGTCGCGGATTTCGGTCTGGCGCGGCGGTATGGAGATCCCGTCGGTGTAGGAGGAATGACCCAGCTGGTGGTCACGCTGTGGTACAGGTGCGTGTCCGCGTCCATGCCAATCGAGAATCCAAGCAGGAAGAGACGCAGGGCTCCAGAAATACTTTGGGCGCGACGACCTATTCTACGGCCGTCGATATGTGGTCTGTTGGGTGCATCTTCGCTGAATTGATCTTGAAGGAGCCTTTATTCCAAGCTAAAGGGGAGATCGAATTGCTTTCTATGATATTCAAGCTTCTGGGTCCCCCAACGTCCGATTCCTGGCCCGAGTACTCCTCTCTACCGCTGTCCAAAACTTTGTCTCTGCCGTCTCCGCAGCCATCTCAGTTCCGACAAAAGTTTCCATACCTGACTTCGAGCGGAGTGGATTTGCTGATGTCGATGCTCACCTATGATCCAGACCGCCGGATAACAGCTGAGGAGGCGTTGCAGCATCCGTACTTCACGTATGAATCTGCCGGCGCTCGTCTTGTCACATCCCCGCTGATGGTTCCGAAATAGCGAATCGCCGTTTCCTAAGCATCCTGATCTCTTCGGCTCTTTCCCCTCTGCTGCCGCTGGTGAAAAGTCGAGTTCACAATGCTTTTCCTTCTGTACCATGATTCTCAGGTTGGTCTCAGAAAACGCAAGCCGTTCAGTCCGTCGGCGCCTGCGAGAGCTGCCGACTACAAACTTCTCATGGATTTCGATGTGCCGTGAGCTTGTTTAATTGCCCTCCTACTGTCTTGTTTCTGACGTGAATGCTTTCTCAAGCGATGGATTGTAAAATTTGGAATCTATTCAGGTGCTCGTACTTCCTGTTCAAAACACTTGATCAATCCATCTCGGTTGGCTCCGACAGCCCAGCTCATTCCGTCGAGTTGCTTGCTGCTGTCAAAGAAGGGCTGGACACAAGTCTTTGCCATGGCATCAAACAGGTCTGATAAGATCCAAGATAATCTGGGGCCAGTCAGCTCAATGGCAGGCTCCGCGTTGATTTCCAGCAAGGACACATTGAATCGCGAGTCCGCTTCTGAATCGTCAGTGACCATAAAATCCACACCAAATAGCTCGAATGCATTTGGCAGAGGCTGTCCGAGGATTGAGGTGCCTGTCACAGAGGATGGTTTTGCTTCCGCACCTGGAAATGGATGGGATTCTCCAGGGCGGCCTGTAAGAGGGTAAAAATGGGGATAACGGTACTCCTGCGTCGGAATATGGCGACTTGTACCTTGAAAGTCTCTCGCAACACAACAACCATCTGCTCGATGATTTGGCTCATGTCCTTTGCCGTGAAGGGTCTAGTTGACCCTGACATAATGTGACAGGTTTCAAGTTCTCGGAACAATCTGACTCCGTCCTCTCCTCGGTGTGTTTGGAGAGATGTATTCGTCAAATGTGCGGAAAGATCGAGAGGTTCAGGGTCCCCGTCTTGATCTGATCGAACAACGGGTGTCGAATATGGTACGGCAGAGAACAGAGCCAATATTTTGTCGAAGAGATAGACTTGCAGGGCCCCAGATGCAACACAATAAGCTCGGAGATGGAACTAACTCGAATGAATGAGTTTCTGCAATCGGTACATATTGTCGGCAAACTTTATGACCCCGAAGTTGATCGAGACAGGGTTTGGGGGAGCCATCCAGGGTGCATTCAGCAGGATCAAAGAGTAGCGGGTTGGCCAAATATTCCTTTTGCGCATTGAGATGAGTCGATCGGTCTATACGGTCTCGTTATCACCTGGATTACAAAGTGGCGAAGCTGAGAAGTAACCACGGTGGTGGAATCGTCGGCCTGATCCTCGTCGTCATCAGATTCTTCGAATTCTTGGAAGATCGCTTCCAACGCAGCAACGCTATTGAACATTCGGATACCATTCCCCCGATCTGCCATCCCACTATACCCGCTGAGAAGCTGACGATACCTGATAAGCAACGCACGGTTTAAGGATCCACCACTTCTTGGCTTCCAGTTCTTTGCCAAGTTCCCAAAGATCGTCTACCAACAGCTCCTCCAGCTCATCTGCGAACGAGATCTCGATTTCAAAGGTCTTGGGTACAGCTTGGACGACGGGTGACTCGGGGTGTTTAGTTGTGTATGAGTGTAAACAGCGCGACAGAAAGTGTTTTCTGATGAGGGCCTTCCGGAAGGTATAGCTCGAGGAGAGCACCGCGCTTCTTTTCAAATGCACCGATTCATGGTCAATATCGTCGTAAGTCGACCAGAACAGGATTGGCCCGTCGCCCTCGGGCACTTCGTCGACAATCGAGTTGGAAACATCGAGCGATTTCAGAGCATGTAGCACGAGCGATTTCGTCACAGGAGCGGAAGGCCAGGACACGACGGCTTGGAACATGCCGAACGGGGACAAAAAGTTATCTGTAATCTAAACGCCGAAACATCCGATCAAGTGTCGTTGACAACTCAAGACCTGATTTGGTAATCACTTTGATTGCCGAGGAGGAGCGAAGCCTGGCCGAAGTGCAAGTTTATCACAGACCCACTCTTGGTAGCAACCCAATTCTCGCCCGCCCATACTCGCGGCATTGCAGTCCTCTGGATCTCGCAATGGGCGTCAGCAACGTGTTCTCCCTCCAGCCCACATTCACACAAGGCCTGATCATCGGACAACTGTCAATTCTCATCCTTCTTGCATTCATTCTCAAATACCTCTTCCTTGACTCCCCACAAAATCCTTTCCAAACGTCACACTACAACGACCACCGGTTTGATGCCCATCGGCCCGTTCGAAAACAAAACCTCTCTTCGACAGGCGGCGTGGAAGACAGAGAAGGGATCGAGTCTGCAGAATGGTTTAATATGTTGATGCACCAGGTGCGCTGGGCCGTTCATGACCGCGTCTTCGCGCGTAAAATTATACCAAGGTTACCGACATTTACCGTGCCAAACTGAGGAATGGGTTCTCGGGGCTAGACGGCGACGACCATGCGCGAGTGCACGTCGAAAACTACGCGAATAAGATGCGCCCGCAAGGATTTTTGGTCAGTTGTGTTCTCGAGTGCCATCATGCTTTGCGTCTCAATCATATCCAGGACTACATAGAAGTCAAGTGGGTCGACTTGGGTGTGTCTGCCCCTCGGCTTTCCAACGCTCGTATAAAACGCCAAAAATGTTCCGAGCCGCTTTCGGTGCGAGCTTGCACGGATCTCTTGGACCGTTCGTAACCCCATCGACAGGAAGTTGAGTTTGAGGTGTCGTATACCGACACGGTCTCTCTGGAGATATCCACATCGTACCTGGTCAATTACCCGATGCCTGCCTTCGCTCGATTACCCATCTCGTTAACCATCTCTCTTTCGCAATTCAAGGCCTCGGTAAGTCATGCGCTATCCCGAAAAAGTTGGATACTCAACCAATGTAGATGGTTGTGACGCCGCCTTCACCTTCAGCCGAATCTCCGGCAGTTACCCTCACTCTCTTACCGAACTTCACGCTGGACTTGACCACAACGTCGCGGATGGGCAGTCGTGTGGAACTGGTCAACGTTCCGAAATTGCATGAGCTGATTCAGCATCAAGTACATCGGTCCCTTGCGTCTCAAAAACCTTGGCGAGTGGTCCTCCCCGGGCTGTCCACTGCCACGGAAGTCCGACATGCTCTGAAGGAAGTACAAGTCAATCCAGCATAACAGTCCGTTGGACCTGTAATTTATCTGTATTAAGCTCATAGTAATCACTGCTTTTGTATTATTGTTGACTCAAATGCCCAACTCGTCCATCCAGAGCTCCATCTTCGACACGGCATCTGAACTCTCCAAGTCTTCGCACTCTAACAAGCTCACATTGGGATCCTGCGAAAGGCGATTGGAGTTCTGGTTGAGATGCTCCAGGTGCATCTTCGAAGTCAAAAGGGCGATTGGGAATTTGGGTTCGAAATTGAACTCGGGGAACTCGGTGGGGAGCAACTTCGGCGAGACCTGGGCGTTGTTTGCCGGTATAGTGCCGGAAAGTATCATCGCAGAAACGGGATTGGACGAGATGTACGCTTGAGCTATCAGAGCAGCCGCAGAGCGGGCATACAGAACAGGCGGAAAGAAAGAGGCGTGCCCTGACAGCCGGAAAGAGGTCTTGAGGTCTAAGGTTATCGCCGTCAATGTCGTGTAGTGAGAGCTCGACCCTTGATCACCGTTCATGAAGTGCTTGATCACCAAGCTTGAGTCATGCGCCGTGGAGGACTCAGGGCTGGACAAGTCGCAATGTACGCAGGTAAATCCTTTGCTGGAAAACATGGTCGTCAGAAGGTCGATCCTGAGCTGTTTTAGCACAGGCATAAGATCAGATGAGAGCTTGCCCTTGATGCGAGTCGGGATCCCAGTCTTGGGCTGATACAAAAAGTAGCGGCGTGGGGACCTCGCGAGGGCAAGATGCATCCGGCAGTCGGACCAAAGTTGAGGACAGACGAATCCGACCGGCGAAGTAAAGAGCTCGTGAGTTTCTGAAGGACAACATTTACAGTATAAGCTTGGTGAGAGGTAGGCACAACCACAGCTCAGGAATTGAGAAGAGTTGGAATGGACTCTGCCACGATTTTGCAGGGTGGCCGGACTTGTGGTTACCGAGGCTTCCGTCAACAGCCACTTTTGTTTGGTTCGACTAATTGTAACACGTGATCGCGCCTTTTCCCCTCACCATGACTGCCGTATCCTCTAGTGCAGTATTCAGCGACATCTTCACGATCAGCGCAATAGATAAGGAGGGAAAGAAGTTTGATCGAGGTGGGCGGGAAACTGAGGCGCTGGTCCTGTCTGGCACCTGAATACCATCGGCAGTTTCGCGACTATATGCACACTCAAAAAGCTACGACATGGATCTGACGCTAGACTACAACATCGAGCTATACCCACTTCAAAAAGACCAGACGTTCACGTTGACCCTGGCCTCCTCTCTAGCGAAAGAGCAGGCGAATGGAGCTGCGCCAGAACCTACGGACGATGACAAGGACAGAGATGTGTGGAGGCCAGATGGAAAGGGTCGACGTGGGCTGGAAGAGGACTACGACTACGTGATGTATGGAAAAGTATGTCGTCCATCTCTCTCTGCTTCAAATTCGAGAATCGTTGCAGGTTTATAAATTCGACAGCGGGACGAGCGAGATTGTGTGCGTCTGTCCATCTTCGCCTTCTGTAACACCATCTGACAATTGGACCAAAGCACAGCCTATGTATCCTTTGGTGGTCTCCTTCTCTCTTTGACTGGTTCGTTCCGCCACATGACCAACATCGTGCTGGGGGATCCGATCTACGTCTTATTAAGAAGTTGAGGACGCAGTCCTCGAATACACAAGCAGCTGTGAAAAGTAGAAATATGCTGAATTATATTGTACAGATGCACTCCTCGCCTCCAGTCGCCGTCCATTCAATTCGCTTTGAGACCGCGTAACTTGTGGATGGCCTCTGCCATATCTCCATCTTTCGTGCGATCGCTGAAGCTCCAGAATCGTCGTCCTTTCCCGGTGACCTTAACATCAACGTCCGCATCGGTGTCGAAGAAGGACGTGGGAAGGGCAGGCAAGACGATGTCCTGGTATCCCACGCCGAAAAATCGGGCTAGCTTGGCAGCACGGCGTCGCCTCTCTTGAAATGCAGAGTCTCGTGGGTCGTCGACGAAAGGGAGCGACAAGGTGGATGGGTCATCGTCCACTTCTCCCGGGATCGAAGTCGTTGAATCTGCCCGTTGTCTGAGAGGACCGGGTGCTGCTTCAGAAAGAGATCCCTCCTCGCGCTGGATCTGGAAAAGCTCCGAAGGTGGCTCTTGTCCAAAAAGCTGAGGGTGAGGGTTGAGTATGACCTGGTATGGAGAATGTTCAGCCTCACCTGCGCCATTTTACGCGCCCGTTTCACATTCAGAGTCCGCCTCCGTTGGGACACGGTAGATTTGCCAAAATTGAGATCGTAGCGCTCCTGAAATCCACCCGGCGCGTCGTCGATCGCGTCCTGAACCTGATTTCGTCCCCACATAGACCGGGATCGCCTGAGCTCCACACCTGTTGCTACGCTCCCGCGCGAGGTGAGCTCCAATGACTGACGGTGCAACCGCGGTTCCGGTGAGATGTTTCCCTCGAGCAGGTCTCGGCGCGCTCTCTTGCGCAGTCTTTCTGGTTCGGTCGGCACCTCGAGGCTCGTTGCAGGATCGATACCTGGCGCGTGACTCTCCATCGCGGCCGTTCCGTCCATATACTCCGCGCTTTACAGCGGGTCCCGAAAGCCTAGAGATACGCACGAACGGTTGGCTCGGTGACCCAAATGGGAGGAGGAAGTGAGTATGAGTTTGAATGCTGCCGGAACCGGTAAGCGTACTGTCGAAGTCGAAGCGGAGAAAGAAGTGGGGCATAATCGCCAATCATTCGAAGCGCTGACAAGCCTGTAAACGAGGCTGCAGAAGTTGGATCCGAGACGGATGGGAACGACATTTACGACAGATCGCCATTCGCTGGCAATGGACTTCGACCATCGACGGCCACCTAGACTGGGGTGCTCGCGACTCAGTGACCTTACCTTTCTTGCCTTTCTTCACAGGCCCGTGTCCATTGGCTTTGACGGGGGCCGCCGCAGTCGCTTAAAAGGTAAGCGAACTTAGATAAGAACGGAGCAGTAGCATAACGACGGCTGCCTCCCTGAAACGCGTCATCAAGATCGCTCAAGGCTCAAGATTTAGGAGGGCTCAAACTTCAGGGCGTTACAATGCTTTTTTGGAGGGTCTGGAACTTGAACAAACAGTCCTGGCTCCTAGATTGGCCGCCGGAATATCAATATGGTCCAGAATTTTCTGTATGAAGGGGCGATCATTGTCCTAAATCTTGCAATCTGCACAGGAAGATCATGAGGTAAGTCTAGCGCTGTCCAAGCCTGCTTGTGGGAACATTTGAGATGAAATCGACGGCAGAATTGGTGCTATGTGTGTAGATGTCTCTGTCTGACCAGGGCAAGTCTCTGTCGGTAATCAAAATACTTGGCAATCGCAAAAAGCAAGTGCCCAGACCGCGGCACCCGCAGACCAACAGCTTCAAAGCAACATCTCAAAACTGAACTCTCACAGAGCGTGTCAAGAGCTGCCACAGCAGTCCAGTCCTTTTGGCAAGTGGTGAGATTGATCGATGTCAAATCGTCATCTAATCTCTATTTGATTATCATGTCATCCAAATCTAATCTGTGGCATCGTCACTCTCTTACTACCAATGACATCAGCTCACTCCATGGCTCCCAGTCTGCATGCTCAGGTCTGTCAAAAGGCTCGCGCAAGGAACTGAATGTCCGCCATGAGACTTGGTCTCCCGCTTGTGCGAAGTGCAAATACATTGACTGGAATAATACAAGAATTGTACAAAGTTATTATCGAAGAGTTCAAGAGCTCGCAAGGTCATTCGTGGGTCGCTGGGTTCCTTGTTGCCGTCCTGTACCTACAGAGAAATCATGCTGTTCTCTGGAAGTCGCGATCAGGGCCGTGCAGACGAACGACAGCCCGCTGGATCGTACCGGTCAAGATGCGGCAGCTGCCTCATCATGCGTTGGACGATGTGTCCGACTACTTCATAGCCTTTTCCACACTTTGCTCACGCGTCCTCGGATGCCGCCGTGACCTTGGAACTGGATCTCACATGCACTGCACAAAGTAATGGATGCTGGAGACTCACCATGACTGCTTTCGCTCGTTCTCGGTTTGGGAGTGTCTGGTGCGCCGTCCCTGGCATCGCGGCTGTCCTCCAGCCCAGGCGGTGTCGTGTGCGGGGACTCCTCGAGTTTGCGACGGACGTTATCACACTGCCTGAGCGTGTATTCGTAGAGCTGTCGGGAGTACTGTGCTTGCTTCTGTTCTAGAGTCATGGTTCTTGCGGCGTTCCAACGCGGTCTGCAGGAGAGTTATATATGTTTGAGTTTTCGCCCAGTTTCGTCATTGTGGACTGGGTGGGACCCCTGGACGAGATAATGTCGTCACGGGTGGAGTTGGGCGCGAATAAACAAACATTAATTAATGCGGTACAAATCAAGAGCTAGAAATATAAGATAGTACTGGTAGTCGATACAGAGTTTCTTGCGAGTGTGATTTCATCATGGCCAGGTCATGCATCGTCCGAGAATAGAATCGATTGCACCTCGCATGCGTCAAGGATGCTGGTGCGATCGCGCCAACTCCCGCATTCATCGTACTCCTCCAGTGTCATCATGCGCGGTGTGGCCCGCTCTAATTTCCTCTCGCAGTCCCGTAGCCAGTCCGCAAGCGTGTTGGAGTTAGATGACTCGCACGAAACCGCAGGCGAGGGCAAGGGCGGAAGAATCAGTCCTCTCGGCGACTCCCGTGGTGGCACAGCAGTCTCGACAGGCCTCCCCGGCTCTGCGCGCTTGAAAACTTTTTTCACGCGTCGAGCACCCTGTCTCATCGACTTCCTGAGATGCTTCAAGCTCTTCGATAATCGAAGAAAGCGCGGACGCGCCGTGGGGCTGGGGCTGGGCGTGTCGTCTACGTCCCGCGGCTCCGGTGCCCGCGCCCCGCTGCGAGAATATGGGCGCGAGTACGCCGAGAAACGTGATGTGGCAGCAGAGGTAGGCGTCATCGGGCGCAGAATCGTTCGTCGGACGGGAGACGACCAGGGAACGTAGGGACTGTTGTGGTGTGCTACCGACGCAGGAATGCGAATGGCAAGTGGACGCGTCGAGGGGGTGTCGGACCGCCGGGGAGGTTCAATGACTGAGATGTCGAGAGATGGTGCCAAATGAGACTCGGAATGAGCGACAGAGGTGGAAGGACACGGTTCGGCGATGGATGCACAGCGGTTCCGTGACAAAAACTCATATAGTGAGGGAACGGACAACGGCGAGGATATTGCAAGAGGAGGAATTGGTTGGAAAGGTGTACATGGGCGTGAGAGGTCGAGTGAAATGTTGACAGAAGCCGACTGGTTGTCTGTATTGCAGTTCATATGCGGTGTCACTGTGAGTGCGATATCCCCCGTGAAACTGGTTGTCGGTCGCAGAGGCGTTTTGCCTTTGCATACCGGCAGCTTCGCCAAGTCAACACGAGCAACACATCAAGAATTCACGTCACCACGTACATTCACATTCGGAGACTTGGCGGCTAGCGGTACACGAGGACCGCTACCATGAGGGTTCAGGGCGCCGCCGCTCGCCAGCTTCGCCTCCGACTGGGTCACAACCATATATCCATCGAGTAGAGGCGAGAAAGAATGTGAGGTGGCAGTTTCCAAGTCACGGCTGAAGTGTAGAAGCATCGACTCGAGGCCAGCTCCGGAGTCGAATTCGTGAAGGGACATTACTAGTGGATCTGAAGGAAGAGAATGAGAGACAAAAGCGAGAGAAGATGCGGAGAATTCCGACCGTTCAGGAAGCGTACTGCTTATGTACGGCCGCGCAAAAGAGGACAAAGACAAAAGCCCAAGATGGCACAATGCAGGAGCACGAGGCGCGTCTATCACTTGTCAATTGAGTGATGTCGCGTTTGTGACTGACCATCGTTGCCTCATTTAATTCTCAGACGTGAATGTTGGGATCGAGGAACACTCTTGGTTTGAATGCGCTCCGATCATGACTTGAAACGAGTTGTGGACTCTGACCTGGAGAATGACAATAATCGACTCGATCAATATGTTTATCCGAGGTGCGACATGCAATCTAATCTAATCGTCTGATCTAATCTATAGCAGCTTCCAACTTTATGGTGTAAAAATGTGAAATGAAGGTGACAAAACGATAGAAGCAGCACACATATGCATGACTCAGTTTTCTAAGGATGACGACAATCTTCTGTTCAGTGTGTTAAACGTTAAAAGCGAGTAGAGGCCACGTGATCGATATGACTCGAGATTTTGTCGCGTTCGTATCTTCACACCTATCAACCATGTCCACCAAGACCTCACTCTGGCTACGCTGTGAAACGAAGGAGTTTGAACGGCGTGCGGCACTGACGCCTAACACTGCCAAAGCTCTCATCGATGCGGGATTCGACATCTCCGTAGAACGTGACGAACAGAGGATTTTTGACGATTCTGAATACGAAGCGTGCGTTTTGAAAAGAGCGGTTTTCACTCATCGGAGTCTCATATCCTCATAGTGTTGGCTGTACCATGGTTGCAAACAACTCGTGGCCTTCGGCTCCAGCGACCACGACCATCATCGGATTGAAGGAGCTCGAGGAATCGACTGACCCTCTTCCCCACACTCACATCCAATTCGCACACTGCTATAAGAACCAAGCTGGCTGGTCTGCCGTCTTGTCCCGATTCCATCGCGGCGGGGGCACGCTCTATGACCTCGAATTCCTGAATGACGCGAGCGGCCGCCGTGTCGCTGCGTTTGGCTTCCACGCAGGTTTCGCAGGCGCCGCTGCTGGTGCGCTCGCACTTGCTGCTCAGAAGAAGGGCGAAATCTTGGGCCAGCTCGAGCCGTTCGTGGATGAACACGCGATGATATCTCATGTGAAGAGTGTTTTGGGAGGTAGTGGTAAGGGAACCAAAGCATTGGTCATTGGTGCGTTAGGCCGATGCGGACGGGGTGCGGTTGATCTTCTCAGGAAGATTGGTCTAGACGAGTGGGGTTCCAATAAAACACGGCGACCTGATCGCTTACCCGCTTATTAGGGATGATATCCTCAAGTGGGACATGGCAGAGACGGCCAAAGGGGGACCGTTCGATGAGCTCATGGACGTGGATATCTTTGTCAACTGCATCTACCTCAGCAGCAAGATCGCGCCCTTCATGACTCGTGAGCAGGCTATGGCTGCAGGGGCTGGCCGAAGATTGTCGGTCGTGGTCGATGTCAGCTGTGACACGACCAACCCGTTCAACCCGATTCCGATCTACAGCATCAACACCACCTTCTCCAAGCCCACCGTTCCAGTTGATGTAGAGTGAGTCCAAGCGTCGCGTGTGAAGGTTGGTTGGTGAACTGATATGATCCACAGACCGAATCCTCCACTATCTGTGATTTCTATTGATCATCTCCCCACCCTTCTTCCGAGGGAAGCGTCGGAGCAGTTCAGTCAAGATCTTTTGCCCTCGTTACTCGAATTCCCCGAAAGACACACCGCCCGTGTCTGGACGGACGCGGAGAGGCTGTTCCGAGAAAAGCTTGCTGCCGCAGCATCAGTCGAGGGCCTCTAGTTCCAAGCCGCTCGCGCACTAGACAAAAATGTTAATAGAATGAGGGGCCAGGCAGGGGGTGGGCCCGCTGTAGTACCAAAACAATCTCTTGACCGTCGCGAAGAGATCTACATACTGGAGACAAGATGTTGATCAGTCGGGATTTTCTGATCTTGTCGTGTGCAGACTGCGGTCGGAAACGCATGACCAGGCTGTGGAAGAATGACCATGTCGAATTGATCTGAAGCCCGTGTCGGCCCGGGCGCATCCACAGTACGGAATATCCTCCTGTCTCGGTCTGCTAAACCGATAATTCGCGGCCGACTCGATCGATGATATGAGTAGAGATGCGAGTGATTGCTATGGCCAAGAATTCTCCAGGTTCAAGGGCTCTGCCACGACTGACAGTAGACTACGTAGATCATCTAGGTTGTCAAGAGACAGGCGTGCCAACCGAGTCAGTGATCCGTGAACACGGTCATAACAGGCGGTCGCCCTGGGGCCAGCCTTCAGGCTTTCTTTCTTTCCAGCTAGTCTGCCGTGGGTTTTCTCGTTCTCCTTTAACTGGTCTCTCCTCTCTGCTTTCCTCTTCTCCTTCGCCAGTGCAGCTCACTCAAGAATTACATTGGTGCCGGACGCCGCCTGCTCGTTTTTATGCATATCATCACATCCCCCGTTCCCGCCATCTCCATTTCTTTTGTCACTGAAGACGTTTCTCCGGAGGAGCCGAAATCTCCCTTCTCTTGGACCTCTTCACCCATCGACGAAGACGATGATGGCTTCCGTCCTCGTCTCCTCACCCCACCGCCGACCAGCAGTCCACGATCTGTGAAGCCACTCTCACCACTCCGGCCTGTCAATGCCGAAGCTCCCGCAGGCAAAGGCTTGGAACGCGAGCGGTTCCAAGCCCTGCTCCAAGCATCCAAGGAGAGGAACTCTGTAGTGGGAGGCACTCGGAAAATCAACGATCTCCGCAAAGAGATCGCTCTGAAGGTCCACAACAAGAAGCAGGTGGAACGTCGCGCGTTGTTCCTCTCAAAGGTCCTCGCGCCACCGTCGCCGACCGCGACCTTGTTGCCCAAGACCCCTCCCGAATCTCCAGCCATTTTCAACTACGTTCGTACCCCATCGTTTGTGCGGCAACTGCATCCAACTGATTCTTATACAGTCGTTGCCTTCTCCTGGCCTAGTCTCGCCTCTCGCCCTGTTCGATTCTTTGAACGACGACCCTGCTTTCGGTCCACTCTCGAAACGAGAGTGTTGGGTTGAGCAAGTCGATTTCCGCCTTCCGGAGAAAGCCAAGGTCAAAGACGTGGAATCCGTCCACGCTCGCAAAGCGAAGCCGCTCCCTTCGCTCGACCAAATCTCGGCTCGCATGGCTGGTCATGCCCACGTGCATATCAATGCCAGCAGTGAAAGGAAGCCGCGGCTGCCGGCGTTCCTGGTCCAGGCGCGGCCCAGTGTGCCGCGTCTGACGACCAGCGTGGGGCGGCTTCAGTTGCCGGTTCGCCGGGAGCCTGCCATCCCTCTCTCGCCCTCGTATCCGCTGTCTCCTAAATTGCAGGTGACAACATTGGTTGTGCCGCGGTCATCGTCGACGTCACCCGTTGAGCTGACGGAGATGAACCTGAACACTCTCAACTCTCGCGAGAAGCGCGCCAAGGATATGCTCTCGGCCCTGAAGAGACGCACGGAGCACTCAGCAGCGCCGCTCCAGGCACCGTCAGAGCTCAGACACTGGAAACGACGCAGCGCTCCCGCTGAGCTGAGCCCGCGCGCGCGGACTGGCTTCGAGCATCCCGTGCTTTGCATGCCTGGTGGCTTCTAGAAGCCGCCCAGCCACAAGTCCCCAGGATCCCAAGATTCAAATCAAAGTCAAATTTCGAACAATGGTGTATGTATGATAAGCTGTGCATTAGAGACTGTTAACTTAGGACGTCGACCAAGGTTGGCTGCGCCGCCTCTACTTACCATAACCCTCACACTCGTTTACTCAATCCCAGGCTGAGCCTTTCGATTATCCCCAGAAACACCATATCTTGTGGGCTGTGCCCGTCGTACACACAAATACGTATCAGTCCCAGGACTGAACTTGCTGGAAACGGCCTAATGAAATCCGCTCGTCGTCGACTGGCCGCTCGGGATTCGGTGGATGACCGCGCAGACGTGCGAGAACTTGGTATCGTCGAGCTGCAGCAGATCAGTAGTGCACAGCGCTTGAATCGAGTAAATTACAGTATTCGATCTGGGCGTACTCATCAGGACTTTCATCGTCAGAGTCTCGCAGTGGATCGTAGGTCATGATCGATTTCCACGCATCTGGGGCGAACGAATCAGTATCAGTGAGACGTTATGAGCGCCAGGAGACTGACGATCTATCATGGAGCGCTCCCCAGCTGGAGATGCAATTGGGCCAACCGGTGCAGGCATCAGAGATTGCGGGTGGGCCACAGCGGCGCCGGACTGGGGCACATAGTACATGAACGATGTCGACGGCTCCTTCGGCATCTCCGCGATAAACGACTTTGGTCGACGCGGAGCAAAGCGGTCATCTGGCATGGCTGGAAAGACTGGTTGATAAATCGACCAGAGGTCAAACCACGGAGCACCAACATGGAACGAATTGGGGCGCTGCCACCGGCTTGTTCTTCTTGTCACTCTCGGACGCCATTATGAGCTTGGTCAGAAACGTGTTTCGAGCGCCTGTCGGAAATTCAGGATTGAAACAGGCATCTGCTGGCAAACTGACTTGACATGGTGATGCCCCATTCCCTTTCTTCGTCGGTATCAACGTTCTCTCGGGCTGCATCTGCGGGAAGAAGGTTGCGAATGAGAGGCGCTCTCCCATGATATCTACGCGCGTAGTCGTCTTCGTAAGGATTCTTGTGGGGGCCTTCTAGGTAGTAGTACATGAGCCAAAGAAACGCTCTGGCTCGATCCAGCGATGATTGCGGCTTGGGCAGGAAGAGATCGAGGAAGTTCATCAGCCCTTCGAAGTGCACGGCCGCCAAGGGCTTACGGAAAATCAATGGGATGGAAGGAAAGACGATGACAGAGCTCACCGCTGCATGATTGGATAGAACGAAGATAAGGTTGACCACACTGGTTGGAGGGCGCAAGCCTGCTTTCTGTGAACCGAGATGAGCAAGCACAGACGCAGAACACAGTTCGCGCACCCATTTCGCAAGAATATCTTCCGGGGTCGATGGTGGCACAGATTTGAATTCAGAGGGTAAAAGTGCAGCCTTTAGACAGTTCTTTATTCGTGGGGCATCCTGCGCATTTCCGTCGGTCTTTTGGAGACAGGGAACTGGATGATATGTTCTCAACGCGGTCTTCACTATACTAAGGTGAGTTTGGTGAAGCGGAATAACAGCTGGGGAACTGACTTTCGGGGAAAACTGAATGCGCTTCTGTCAGCGGGCGGGTGCGCGGAGAGGACGATATAGAGCTCACAGGCCATAGTGGTGTTAATTCTGCCCACATTCGTCAGCAGCGAAATCTTAGCTAATTCAATAGCAAAGGCAGGTGTTTCAACCATCTTGTCCTTGAGGACCTTGGAGCATTTGCTCGAGTTGTATATGGCATGGATATACAGTTCGCGGAAGCAACACTTCTTGCCAGGGGTGGGGTGGTGAAAAACAGCCTGTTCGTCTTCGAAGATGTACCGGAGTAGATCTGAGGTCGGCGGAGATGCGGTTTATCGCGAGATGTAGGTGACAGGCGCGCGCACCATATTGGACATCCTCTCGCGTCAGAGCCTCCGCATCGTTACGCTTGATCGGAAGAGCCTTTCTGCTGAGATATCCCGCGCTGTTTGAAAGACACGATTTAATGACACCCGAAGCACAGAGCCAGGCGTATACTTGCGGTGGGATTGGTTCAGGTGCAGGCAGTGGCCAAGACGGTGGTCCAGCAGAGGCGGAGGCAGGTGACGTTGCACTCATATTTCTTGGTCTCGTGGATAAAATACCGTTACGAATGAAGGAACGATTTTGGAACGATTTGGAAGGAGTGGGCACGTAGTGGGTGCGCAAGTGCTAAGTACTACGGTGCGTGCAATTGATCTGTAGACATGATCGAGATCATTGATCGGGGACATGTCTCATGGCACGTGACACATTCCCTCTGCTTCCGCATCTCTACGTACCAATGGCCGACAAATTTGACGAGGCTACTCAAGTACGCTTTCAGCACTCTCTCTCTAGACTTATTCAAGAGTTTTCTTAGAAAGAACTTTCGTCTTTCTTGGAGAGGCAACAAGTCGAAGCGCGTCTCCACTCATCCATCCAGACTTTCACCGACACATGCTGGGACAAGTACATTGTCGCGTAACTCTCGCTCGGACGGGCATCTAAATGGACGGTCAGGTGCATAACTGGAGCTCCCTCCACCCGGTTTTCGCGTTCAGAGGAGAGTTGCCTGTAAGTAGTCGTCTCATACGGAGGAACCGTTCTCATGCTTTCCCAGGGCCAATTGCGTTGAAAGGTTCGGGGTCGTTTCCTCCGAAGATGCTAAGCTGGCTGACTTCTGGTTTGAGATTTCTGGATACGTCACTGTGCGTTAGCAAGTATACGATCCCGAGCTTTCCCAACTTACACTATTTCCAGGTTCATGGTGAAAAAGATCGAGGACCAGCGAGCTGCGTTACAAGGAGGAAACAACGGGTCTATCTAACAACGTTAACGGGTCCGAATATTACAAGTACCGTATCACCGGGAAATCATCGCCTCCCAACTAGTCTTTCTGCCAAATGGGCCAACACTGCGACGGGAAAGAAGCCCACTGCATCGAAGATTTCTCGTTTCCGACGTAACCTGAGCGGGATGGCGAAACTGGACTGCGCAAACGAAGCCTTGTCGAACCATCGGGTGATGCTCAGGTCTTTCTCCTTCCACAGCGCTCGCAGCCATGCATCGAACACGGCCTTCTCTGTCTCCGGGATATCCACCTCAGCGGAGGATTTAGGAGTGGCACCTGGGCTGGACACTGTCCGTGCTAGATCGCCTACAGGGACTTCGGTCGCCACATCGAACAGTCGCAGATGGAAATGGATCGCCGGCGGTGGAACGCCATGAAAGAATATTGAGCGCAAGGTATAGTATTCTTGCCCATATCCCAGCGGTGGTATGCCTGGTTTATTAAGCTATGTCGAGAAAGACGACAGACAGGCCACTCACCGGGATAGACTGTGGTAATGTCCAACAGTTTCAAATCTGGAATGCGGGGAGCCAGAGCTCGCAAGGTGAAGTGTAGGCCTGTGGACCTAGGCAGCAGGACGTTCGTCATGTCATCCTTACATTTCTCGTCAGCATCGTCAGCCCAAGCGAATTCAGCGAAGCTCACGATTCCCATTTTATCGGCAAACTTCTTGCTGATAGGCCTCGTGTTCGGTGATACGACAGTGCCTTCAGGATATAGGAAGAAGACGAAGGGTCGTTGTTCACGTTCTGCAATCTTGCCCAAGGCCGCCAGATGCGTGGAGAGCTGCACACGATCGTAGACCCATGAACGGGCAAGGAAGATGAAGTTGTAGAATCGCATCGCCCAGCCTAATATCGGAAGCCACTGAAAAGATGAGAATATACTCAGCGTGTAGTGACTGTGCTTACTTGTAGACTCTTCTTCAGCGCAATGTAAACGGAATCGTGTATTCCGTGATTCCCGATGTAATACGTCAGTGTCCAGGCGTACAGCCAGTCCGCGTACACCTGGAGAGGGTGAGGATCTGGGCGGTTAAGCGGGAACCATGACGCATACTTGATGATTGGCAATGAGGATGAATCGGTTGGGAAGATCGAGGGCGACCACGTTTCCTGAGTCATCCTTCACGACGATTCGCTCGATTTCTTCATCTGTGAACCTTCCCGTCCCGTCCCGCTCGAATGTGATGATTAGCTTGGTCGGGGCGAACCACTGATTCATGAGAACTGAAGGCACGGGGATCAGCGGGCCAGCTCGGTCGTTCGCGGGTGGGAATCTTACTGAGGAGACAGCAGAACGAGCTCTTGGTGTACCGAACACCAGCAGAGTACAATCGGGACGACCATGCGAAAGGCAGTATGGCTAGTGGGAGCAGGAACAAGATTTGGGTAGCATTGATCTAGTCACGCTGCAATCGAAGAAGGTCCGAGATCGGTAGAGGCAGTGCGTACCAGCAAGCAGCCTAGGGTGAATACCACACCAGCCCCGAGCGCGAGGCATCTCCGGGACCAGCTTAGCTTGGTCGTCCGAGACGATATGGGGATGGAATAATCGGAGACCATGTTGACGTCAGACGCAAGGCAGCTCGAGCGCTCTCGCGTTCATGTGCGGCAATCACATGTGATAGATATATTACACCGCCGTGGATGAGTCACACGTGCTGACTATGGAATGCACATGACCTAACAAGTGAACGGTTTGCCCACCAGATTGCTCTTGTATGCATCGTCGATGAGCTGCGCGGGGGGATTCAATATATAAGAGACAGTTGTCGGGTCTGCACTTTCCTTGATGGACACGAATGTCCCTGCTACACAGATAAACGCACCAGCCACGACTGTGAAGACAGCAAGGGCTGCTTGCGCGGGCTGCTTTCGGAACGATGCCCACCCGCCTTTCAAATGGTATGCGTCGTGGATCCAGAAGAATCCCGCAATCCCATAAGTGTACCACGAAGCAAACAGGGACGCGGCGATCCCTAGAATGAGATTGGTCAGCACATCCGCTGCGACCCTTCGATGTCTCCCTGCTGACCGATGAGATATGAGAAGATAGGCACGGAAATAGCAAAAACGTATGCTATGGCAACAGCTGCAAGGCACAGCGATGTCCAAGCTATCCATCCAACCAGGGTGTGCTTATATACGTGTCGGGTGTTCCTGAAATATCGGATGAAAACGACCTTGGCGGCGGTGTGCGAGTAGAGCCCTCCAGCTCTGCCGGGCAACTTCAGAGGCTGCATTCGTTTCGGCAGCACGCACCAACACACATCAGAAAGTTTCCGATTGCAATGCCAAAAGTGACTTTGGACCAGACTGGAGGCAAGGAAAAAAGGGCGGGGGAGGCCACCGTATTTCCAACAAACACATAGCTAAAACCGTAAAAAGGACCGCAAGCACTTTCAATAAAAAGAACATACGCACATGACTACGGCGAAAATTATGTAAAACAATGTCGAGAATGTTTGCAGACACCAAGCGGCCTCGAGAACTCATGGGTATCCCAGAGTGGAAGGAAATCTGAGGAAACGAACCTTCATAGCATCCTCAGGTCTCCTCATTTCAGAGATGAGAATAAAGAACCTTCGGGATTCATTAGATTGCGCCAGTTGCATGGGATCAAGCTTACATGAAATGTCCTAAACTAAGCTTGGCAGGAGCACGAGGAAATAGCAAGACTCAAAACTTGCCTGCATACGCAAAAACCTGGGAGAGAGTGAGAATGTGGCACCACTGAACGGTACAATCACGAACTGGATTAGTAATGGCCAGAAAAGCCTGGTAGAAGGAGGTCGACACAACGGCACTCAGAACTCGATCGGGAACAGGATTCGCGCCAGCACCGATCATGGCAACGAGCCCCGATATTGTGATGATACAGGCACTGAAGAGACCAAGCGAGCTCACGCGGTCCAGTGTTCGGGGCAGAGCAACCAAAAGTGTCGCCACTGCAAAGATCAGAAGCAGAAACTCAGCACACAAGCCATTGTTGGTCAGAGTAGAGAGCGCTTGTTGGCCAGATAACAGCTCGGAACCCTATATCTGGTCAGAGATAGCGAGCGGATTGGCTGTTGGGTTGAGCCTCGCACAGTTCCACAAATTGCAAAGATGATCGTCCCAGCAGATAAGATTTCCCGAGGCACAACACCACCCAGAATGTATCCGGCATCCCCCCTTGGCGAGTCAGGATGTATAATTCTGGAAAGGTGCCAGCACTGGCACTCACATGTTATGGACCTCCGGATGATTCAACTGAAGATCTATCATGAGCGATGGGTGACGCCTCGATGGCTAGGCTCTCAGATCTCGACGGTCACCTTGAAGTCGATCAAAAGTTTTGCTGTATACAGGGCAAAGACACCGAAGTACAGAATCAGAATGACGGCGGGTACAATCCCTAATAAAGTCAGCACTCGTTGCCGCGTGCGTTGACGGCAGGGCGTACCAACAACAGCAAGCGCAGACGGCAGGGAAAGCATGCCGTTGCTGACGATCTCCGCAATCATAAGTAGAGCCACAAACTGATATTGCAGACGTTCAGAACTGCGAATGTTCAAGATGTCTGGAGGACTGACCTGCCAACTCAAAGTTTTGTAGTGAAAGTCATGATCCGGCTTTTCTTCAAAGACGGGGCCAAGGTGACGAGGTTCCAGGTTACCGGCCGAAGCGTCAAGGTCAGTATTTTTCCTCTCAGAAAGGTCCATGGTAGGTTCAGAGGGCAGTCCCGATTATGATAGTCTCCGATTGATATGCCTATCTTTGATCACAGGACTCGTCGAGTTTGACGTTCGAGTGATCTCTCAGGACTGACGGTTATCCGACCTGGATAAGAGAGATCCTATTGTGCGGATGCAGAGGAGACAGCGCTGTAGCAACCGAATATGTGTTCAGTAAGGTTCCACAGACACCACTGAACTCCAGGCAGAATGTGACGCTGTTTGTTACAGTTTCCTGACGCGTTTTGCTTCCGTCAACCATGTCTGCAGACTCAGTCCCCAGTCCGCGGCCGGAGAGTAAATGCTCCTCACCCTCAAACTCATCAACTCCGCCTGGCACTCAGGCCTCTCAAACCCGTAGCTCAAACATGCGCGGCCGCTCGCTGGTCGATCTCATCGAATCCCACTTCCTTGCTTTCGACTGTGAAGAGGCTGTCGTTTTCCCATTTCAAGACGAGACTGCACGCGATGAAGCCTTTCAGCGAGGTATGCTCCGCTCCTGGTCATAGCTGGTCTCTTGCATGGTCTCCTGCACGCTGTCTGGCCCTGTGGGAACATCGATCCGTTCTTCTGTCCAATCTCGTGCTCCCCCGCCTGACTCCTTGACAACGATCGTTGAAGCTCAACTTTCACTGTTCTCAGAATTGAATGAGCTCCTTCTCGATGCTGGCCTTGAAACTCATGCCTGGGCGTCCTCACGTCCTTTCCACGAAACCCAAATCGCCGAACAGAAGTTTGAAGAGCAGATCCTGACGGTGCAGGAACAAGAGAATCAGCAAGGCATGTGGTTGACTCGACCTTTTACCCCCCTTCCCTGTGGCTTTGGTAGGCATATATCCTGCCTACTGAGGTTTCCCGTCCTCGAGACCCTTATTCAATTCCGAATGTGCTCATAACATAGTTTAGAGAAGGCTCGTCAACATCTCAACGAATTTGTTACTCGCATGCGATCCGCTCTGGCTGCTCTCACTGGTTCGATTTGACTTGGTGACTGATGCTGGCAACCGAATACTTCTCTGTCTTCCGTACCCATTAGCCGTTTTCCGTAGTCTCTTATTGCACGCACTTTACATTGTAATGGCTCCATGTACACGCTCTATAAATGAATTCAATCGTGGACGGATTTACCGTGTTGTCATTTGTTTGATGCCGCATTCATATGCGGTTTCAGTGCCGACGCCATTCACCACTTTTCTCTGGCTTCGGCCTCGGCTAGTCGTTCGTTTTCTGCTCCTGCCTTGCATCTGCTAGGATGCATTCTGTCGTTTCTAGACCGCAACCCCTGGCTCCGACCAGTTCGAACCGAGTGCCTCGGAAGAGCACATCTTTCATGTCTCTTCGGCGAGAAAAGTCCAAGAACGTCTCCGTATCACCTCAACCGGATCCTTCTGGGTCTCGTTCCTATTTCGACGCGTATCCGAGGCTCGCACCGGCTCGGGCCTCCAAACCCAAAGCACACGCCTCATCGTCCCCACCCGGTTCCCCAAATGAAATAGACTCTCCTGTCAGCTTCCCGCCTATCCAGTCGTCGTCAGGCGGACACCATCCGCCCGAAAGCTCTCGCAATCCCCTTCACAGAAGTAGGTCCTACACCGTGACGAGTCGCGACGGACGGGGTTGGCGAGAACCAGGCAGGGTTCCTGCTCTGCGTTTCTCTGGGTCCTCGACACAACATACCGACGAGACGCCGCCGGACACGCCTATAGACTATGGGGATGGGGAGTCTTTCACGGGTTTCCCTGCTGTTGTTTCCGCGCCCGTGTTTGGTGTGGAGATGATGGACGCTCTTGTGGATGGTATGAATGGAGGGGATGACTTCATGGGGCGCCCTTCCAGTCGCCAACGCTTTGGCATTCCGAATCGGCATCCGCTCTACGAGCCTCCTCTGCCAACTCCTCCTCCTGGGATAGTTCTTGGCGGCCCTAAAGCGAAACAGCGTCGGCAAAGGCAGGTGTCTCTCTCAAGCGAGTCTGATAGCGGAGAGGATACCGCCCGACGGCAGGTGACAACGGCATCTCGACCTCGTAAACGGGCTCCTCGACCAGGTCCTACGCGCAGTGATTCGAAAGCCACCATAACACCTGAAGTAGAGGAAGACCCACCGCTTCTAGGTGTGCTATCGAGGAAGTCCTCCGCTGCATCCATCGACAGACATGGCCCTGTCGCACCCTCCATTTCGGACATCATCCGAATACATGCACCTCTGGGCCAGATTCGCTCCCGAACGTCCATGAGCGGGCGCTCCTCGGCTTTCAGTCATGGTCACGCCCCCTCGATTCTCCAGGAGGAGACCGAGCCCGAAGCGATAAACCTAGACGATGACGGGGACATCGTCTCTCGCTCTTCTGTCGACAGTATAGCTGAAGAAGTTCGTCAAACGCTACGAACGCAGCTGAACATGAAGCCAACGAACCCTAGGCCGACGATAACTCTCCCTCCTCCCTCTTCCTTCAATAGCAGAAGACACTCGACCTTGTCCGACAGTGTGAGCGTGTACTCGCCTCGCTCCGAGGGTGGTGCAAGCTCTTCATTGTACGCGCCGTCGATAAGGTCCAATCCACAAAGCGTCTCGCCTGTTGAGCCCGGCTTCTTATCCTTCGCTCAGCCTTCTGCTTCTCAGGCGGTGGCACAATACCTCCGTTCCGTTCGCCTCACTACCCTACTCAAATTAACTCGCTCGCCTCATGCGTCGCAAGACAATCCGCTAACGGTTAGCTTGTCCGATCTGGGTAGTCCAACGGGTTTTCCTGTGGTCGTATTCCTTGGACTCGGCTGTGTCCGACATGTTATGGGATTGTATGACGACATGGCCCAGTGCCTGGGACTGAGGCTGATCACCATAGATCGGTACGCCAGCTCCCGGTCCGATTCAACATGTTTCTGACCACCCATTCGCAGCTGGGGACTGGGACGCACCGAATCGAGGTCCCGAACTGCCAAGGGCATCATGCAATGGGCCTCGGCAGTCGAAGAGGTCCTTGATCTGCTTCAAATTCCGGAGTGCAGCATCATGGCGCACTCGGCAGGAACCCCATATGCGCTGTCTTTTGCAAATAAGGTGCCGACTCGGATTCGAGGAGACATCTGCCTCATGGCGCCATGGGTGGGGGGTAGCGAAAATGGTGTGTTTGCAGTGGGCCACCTTGCTGAACGTGCTGAATCAAGCGTCAGGTGGCTATAAATGGCTGAAATATGTCCCCAACGGCATTCTCAAAACAGCGCAGGCTGCTGAATGGAAAGTCCAGGCTTGGATGCTCGGGAAACCTCCCACCATTGCTTATGAGGGCATCGGCTACACCGTAGCTCCGAAAGCGCAAACGACCTCCGGAAATGGGAATAGTCTAGCGGTCCAAAGCTCTGCTGCAGATGGCGAGGCTCGACCTCGTCCGAGCATAGGGAGCTCCTTCAGCGAGTACGATGATCTTGGGGATTTTGACGGTCGTTTTGAGAGTAAAAGCACTCTTGCAGTGGCTGCCGCTGCCAGACCAGCGCCGGATGCGGTCCAGACCGCGAAGCGGAAGCCGTCGCGGGGATTTCTGAACCGTTTCAAGCCCTCGCAGCCGGCCTCTCCGCAGGAAGAAACTGCCAAGCCCAAGCAACGGCTAAAGGCTCTGCGATCGATGGGATCTCTCCGCGGTCGAGCCTCGTCGTACAACAACTCGAGCAAGCACAGTGGGCCGTCCGAACCCTCAAGTCCGGTACTGCCCCCGGCGCCCAAGTTTGATTTTGGAATGGGGATGGATGACCTGCACTGGCCCAAGTCGGGTTCCTCCGAAGTTTCGTTGATTGGAGAAGGAGTCGGTTCTCGGGCTGCCAGCGAACGCTTCTATGCTTCAGCGAGCCGAACGGAAGGACGACGATCGCTTTCGTTCAACTCCGCCGGTGGCACTGCTCCATCATGGCCACTGTCGACCCCCTCGTCTCCGGCGGCGAGCACCAGGAATACGAGTTCGACATCTGTGTTCTTGGCGAGTGACCAGCCGACGAACGAGTATCAGTCCACGCTCGGCAATGCGCTGATTGCAGCATCGCACGCGGAGTCTGCCAAAGGAACGTACAGCGATCTGTTGCAGATTCTGAACCACGACAACCATCCGTGGGGATTCTCGTACACGAACTATCCGCACTCCGTGAACGTCTGGTATGGGGACAAGGACGAGAAGATTGGGGAGAATGCTGTGCGGTGGATGGAGAAGAACATGGGCGCGGACAAGTGCATCGTTAAGGTTGTCAACGGGGGCGATCATGCTCTGATGTACAACAGCGGTGTCGTCATCGAGGTGCTCGAGCAACTGCTGGGCTACTGGCAGTCGGACCAGCGGCGGCGATGAAGGTCGCTTCCATCATACCATTCGTTCATGCTATCAACACTGTAAATTCTCTCCCGCTCTCTTTGGATTTCCTGCACAAATTGTATTTTTCAGTCATCATTTGTTCATAATAGGGTTACTTAGATGTATTTTACTTCCAATGGATACAAATTCATTCCTATGATGTACAAAAGAGTGCGACGTGCTACAAGTAAATACGGGAAAGCAAGCCATCGAGGCTACACGGGTGAAAATTGATTCCGAACCGGCCGCGAAGTCCAGTAGTCGCCAATCGGATGAGCAGCTGTCGGCGGGAGGGGAAGAGGATAGGTGGGCGGCGCGGTCGTTGGCGTGAGCAGCCGCCCGTCCATCCTCCTCGGACTGGAGAATTGTCGCGGGGAACCAATAAATGGATCCGCCCCCGACCACATTTCTGGCGCAGGAGGGGGCGGCATGATTGGAATGATTGAGGAAGCTCGGCTGGGTGGGACCTGCATCTCCCGCTGACGCGCTCTTCGTTGTTTCAGGACAACGATGAACGTAGCAATAACAGCTCCCACAAAGAACAGGCTCAGCACCGTCACCCCAGCGATCAGCTTGACACTGGGGCCTGAGGAACTGTTCGCCGAAGCGCTGGAAGCTGATGATGACGCCTGTGATGCATCTGAACCATTTGCTGTTGTTGATGGATCTAAAGCACTATCGGACACGGCCGGCGATGAGGTTGGATTGCTTGTGATCGGTGATGTCGAGCTTGGGGCACTGCTTGTCTGTGTGATTCCCACCGTCGTAGTTGCAAGTGCAACGGGAACACTGCTGGAAAGCGACGCGGTGCTTGATGGATTCCCTTCCGTCCCAGTGCTGGATCCGATATGGCCTGTTTCTACTAAGTATAGATCATCACAGAGATGGAAAGAAGCGCCGACCTGAACGCAGATGTAATCAGTCCAGAAGAAGCATGCGTTAGAAGACTGAAAACCACCTTGTGCATTGTCCTGAACGTCAACAGCCAGGTGGTCGAATGTAATCTCGCTATGACCTCCCGGCAAGTTGCTTGGAATGTTGTAGACGCGCAGAATGTGCTCGAAGCTCGGGTCCAGGTTCAGCGAGAAGAGCGTAGACTGCGGGTGACGTGATGAGTAGATGAACTTACACGATCGATGGAAAAACGCACAGCCTGTACAAAGCTAGGGTTTCCGGCCGAGGGATCAGTTGCGCTCACGGTGGTCAGGATGCAGTCATTTTGACAGTCGACAGTGTAGCCGTAGGAGGAACCGCCTGCTCTAGGATAGGCGACAAAGGAGACCGAGGACGTGTTTGCTGGGCGCGCTTTTAGTACGCACGCAGCAGGTGCCGCGGACAAGACGGGAGACGCACCGGGCAAAGAGGCCACGAGTGATCCCAACACTGTGTCCGTCTGGAGATAGTCCGATCCGCTTGCGTTCGAGAACTGCGTTGTCCACCCAGCAGAAAAGACAAGAGAAGGGTCAGACGCGTCCAATAGTAATTGGGATGTAGCAGTGGCAGCGTAGGAAAACGGCAGACTAGCTGCAGCCAAGAAGAAGCCGATGGCCAGCATAGAAAAGGGGATAGAAGGCTAGGATCAGATGGCCAGCATTGGGAGAAGGAGAGGGACGCGAGGCTAAGCTCGCCAGGACAAAAACAGAACATGGCAGGCCTTATGTATGCCACCCCCGGACTCGATTTCCATATGGGGTCTCGGGCGACTTGATCGATGATCCGTCCATTTCTGACGTGTCGAGGTGATCACAGATTCTATCTGTGCGGGGCGCAGAGCCAGTTGCAACGGCAATGGCCATCTATCTGGTGTGCAACAAAAGACGGAATCAAAAAGGCAGTGAGGAGAGTTCATGAACTAGCGTCAGGAATCCATAGTCTGATGGTCTTTTGTCCAGAAAAGGAACAAAGTTGTCGACGTCGACCAAACGACTGGCCTCAAATCCTGAGAATCCCGTTATGAGCAGTACATTATCTCAGATAGCAACAACTTGTGATAGTCATACATTCTTGTAACAACCTAGCAGTTAGAAAGACAAACAAAGTGAATTGTGTAAGTATGCAAGAGAAAGAGCGACGCATAAGGTGAATGCATAAACAAGCTCGGACATAGGTCCGGAAGAAAAGTGAAAGGAGCAGCAGCAGCAATGCTCAGTGCTCAGCGGCAATGCTGCAGCGGAAAGCCTTCGGCCGCACAGCCGTCCACGACACCGGACGCGCTGTGGCAAGCCTTGGCCAAGCATTGAGGTCGAACGAACCAGCATCGACGCATCTCGTTACTCGGCAAGCCACTTTTCGCATTTTTTCGCGTACTTGTCGAGTAACAGCGAAAGATCCCGGATGACAAACGTAAGCACAACAGTCGCAAAGAACTGCGACGAGCGCTTCAGTTTTTTGTCGGCCTCGGTCCGGATATCTGCTGGTAATGCTGCATATACTGCTGCAACAGGCTGAGATGTGATGGCTTGAGAGTGCTCGTCAAGGAGCTGGGCGTAGAGGAATAGTTTCTGAAGGCCAGAAACATACGCGGCAGGTGAATCGAGACTGAAATTATGTCAGTATGCTTTATTTATCATCGAACAGGTCGAAGTCTACGCACTTCTTTCCGGCGGTAAACTTGTCGAACTGCCGAGTAAGCTTGCCACCCCAAGACGATTTCTTGACCACAAATCCTTCTCCAACGCCCAATTTCTTACCAAAGTTCGCAACCACACCATCACAAATGTTGGAGAACTCTTCCAACCGACCGATCCAGGCCTCTCCCTCAGTCCTACCGATGCTCCCAATTCCAAGCCCCATCCCACTGCTCACGTTACCCGCTCCAAAGTGTTCAGAACTGCACGTTTGCAACTCTTCTAGCGCAGAACATAGAATAGCCACCACGCGGATCTTCTCAGACACATTGGTGAGCTTGGCTCCGCCCTGTGACCAGACACCCTGCGGAACATGGAGCCGACGGGTCACGTAGCCCCCGGTCGCAGAGATCATGGTCGTGCGCAGCAGACTCATCATGTGATACGGTTTCCTGATAGGGTCTGTCGGCGGAGCAGGGGGCAGTGGTGATGTTGGCGTAGTGGGAAGTTGATTGAATATCGGTGGTCCGAGCGTTGAAGAAAGCGGAAGGTCGGTGTGAACAAACAATGGATTGTTAGGGTTCAACTTGGACGCGAACGACGGCTTGCGGGGAAGAATCGAAGGTGTCCCATTAGTCGACGGTAACGGTGGGGGCGGCTGGGTCAGTGCTGGAGATATACGACCATTGATGAGCGATGGTCGTCGGCCGGGCTGCGAAACAGAACGACTGCGCCCGGACAGAGATTTGGCGACAGTGTTGGATCCGGCCGACGTCGTCGATTCCGCCGGCGAGGAGGATCGGGTGCTGGGGGGTGCAGACGATTTTGTTGATCGTCGATGGAAGATGGTCCCTTGATTTATCGTCCCATTGATGACCCCCGAAGGAGGCACTTCAGTCCGGGGAGATATATACGACGACCCTCGCGGTCGGGGCGTGATCACATTCGCAATCGGGGCGGCAACTGGCACAGGTGGTCGAGATCGCGTCGGAGACGGAAGTGGGGGTAATGGAGGAGATTCGCCAACACGGTCGGGGACGTAAGCCCGTGTTTGCCCTCTGTCCTCTCGCACTTCTTCTTCCAGTGCGGCAAGTCGGCTAGCAGAGTGCGTTCTTCTGTGTTCTCCAGTAGTTTCGGCAGAAATCTCATCAGATGCAGGAACAGGAGCAGGGGGGAGGGCATTTGATGGCGGCGGTGGCGGCGGTGCGAATGCTGCAGCAGACGTGTTCCGTGGTCGGCGACTGCGGATGCCAGATGAAGTCGCAGGGGGCAGAGCTTCCTCGTAGACTGCCGCGTAGGGATGGGAGATGGGTGCTTGCGACCCCCGCTCATTCTCAAATAGAAACATGCCAGCCTCATTCAGATCTCGGTCGTGTCCAGTGTCGAATGGGTTACGAGCCGGTGAATGATCGTCCTGGTACTCATCCTCTGGTGGAATGGCGTCTGATGCGGAGGAGATGGATCCTCCCACAGACGAGTGCACTGATTCAGGCATTACGGACTGGGATCCCGTCGGCGAAAATGTCGACGGTGTGGATTCGCGTAGCATGGCTGCATATTCGGCATTGGCGGAGTATGGAGCGGGAGGAATGTTATATATGATGCTGAGGATATTCATGCGGTCCGCATATGTATCGTGCTTTCTCGCCGGATGAGCAGCGCCAAAGAACGCATATAATGATAACGCACGATGTTTTGAAGCCTCCGAATCTCCTCCTCTTGGGCAACAGCACTCCTAGGTCGACCATGCCGCCTTCGTGAATCGGTACTATCTTCACCGCGTCGAACTCGTTCCATTACCTCGCTCAATAGTGCGACACTGCGACCATACGCCGTAACGGCCGCATACGGTTCCTCGTTCGTTGAATCAAGCTGAACTGCTTCTCTGGCTAGCTCTAGAGCACGAGTTAGTGCTCTTCGAGAGGAGGGTATACGCGGCTCTGGTCGAGCTTCGGGAAGAAGAAACTCGCGAGGGGGGTCGCGAGGAGGATCTGGGGGTTCCACAGACGGTCCGGATAAATGTAAGATAGAGGGCGGCGGAGGGTCGTCCAGTTCATCGTTATGCCTGACTTGGCGAGGCACCTCGGGAGAGTCAGGGAGTGGGGGTATGGGAATCTTTGGGATGGGCCCAGAAGGGGGTGGGGCAGGTGCAGGCCGCGTTGCAGCACTTGAGCGGCGACGGTTCGACATCGAACGCGGCAGCGACCGGGGATCCAGCGAGCTCTGAACAACCCTTGAATGTAGTGATGTCAAACACAACAACAATCGCAGCCTCTTTCAGTCTTTCCGTGTTCGATCCATCACTCAAGATTCAAGAATGCTTGATCGCGATTCTTTCAGTAGTCTACGTTGTCAAGGCTTGCTATTTTTGCAGGCTCGTCGAGTATAAGTTGCTACGCCTCCATCGCGATCTCGGGAAGGGCTGGGTACCGCCGTCAATTTTTAATTGTCGACCATCACAGATTTGTGATTTGTGATCGACGCATGCTACAGATCTGGAAACCGCCACAAGAGAGCCTGATAAGTGTTCTGCTGTTGGGAAGAATTAACCACGGTACTGATTGCAAAAGGGCGAACAAAAAGAGCGATGGTAAAGAACGTGGTATATGCGATGAGGCAGTCTCAATGATTATCCAAGAGTATCAAAAAAGCAGAAATCATCCCATGGGTATCAACTGGGCAAGTTCCTAGTCACGGAACTCAGATGAGCCCTGTGCGGCAAGGCGACTCTCCAAATTGCGGAGGGATTCTTCCTTCGCAAGCAACTCTTGCCGCTTTTCGTTGATCTCGCGTTGCACCTTCAGCTCAATCTCGCGTAACTTCTCTTCTTCGCGACGCAGTTGCTCTTCCTTGAGACGCACGCTCTGATTGGCCATTTCTTCCGGAAGGATCGACGAGTCGGGCAGATCCGTATGAACACTGCGGGAAAGCTTCTCGGTACGGTAGGTCTCGTACAGCAGGTCATGAGTCAACGATTTGAGGTCTGACAGGTGGGAACTGCGAGCGTCGTAATGTGAGTCGGTGAATGACGGAAGGAATTGGATACCCACTTTAACAACGCGCTCCGAAGGCGACTGAAGTCAGAGTGCTTCGGGTTGTCCACCTCGGCGATACCCCAAGGATAAATCCGGGCACGGACAAGTTGTCCATCGAGCTCAATCTCCTCCTCGGATCCGATGATCGCAAACGGCATCAAGCTCTAAGTAACTTTCATGAGTCTGTTTCTCGGTCCGAAGCGTTCGCCTCACCCGCAGTTCACTGTTGTCCTGGATGGTGTCCTCGTCATCTTCTTCCACGTCGTACGGGAAGTTGTACACCGGAATATCGTAGTGTTCAATATCTTCCATAATCTAAAAGCAGTGGTCAGACGTTGGTGGAGCCAGGACGAGCTGTGCGGCGCACCCGTTTCTTGAAGCTTTTCAGTTCCGAGGGCGTAAGACTGTCGGCCTTTCCGATGACGGGAATCACATTGACACGAGGAGAAAGACGGCGCATTAACTCAATATCCATCTCCCGCAGACTTGAAGACGAAGATTGAGAGGTCTGAGCTGGTTACAGGGGATAGAACTTACGCGTGCCCTGTCGGAGGAATGAAGTAGAGCAGGGCATGGACACGGTTATCGCGAAAGCGAGGGTTGCGCTTAATGCGGGATTCTTCAGCCAGAATGTCGTCGTATTGACGTTCCAGGTAGCCCATGATTTCTTGGAAACTAAGACACGCTGTCAGGAAACGACACAACGAATACAGTCGGAAAGGAACGCACGCAAATTCGTTGTCAATGTTGTCCCCGAAACCCGGCGTATCAACGATAGTGAGAGCAATGCGAACACCATCTTCATCAAGCTCTAAGAAAGGGAATGAGATTTTCCGGAGGAATCAGTATTACTGCACGCGCGCACCAACGTTGGCGGGCTTGATTTTGATACCCTCCTCAATATGGGCAGACTCTGGCGCGTCAGAGATCTTGTGCGACAAAACCTCGCTCTCGCAGAGAGTGTTCACGAAAGTGGTGCGTCCAGTGCCAGAAGCACCTACAAGGCCTTAAGTATCGGAATGACGAAAGATTTCGATGTTCACCGTACCGACGACCATAACAGTGAATTGAACTCCCTTTTTCACTTTGTTTCCGCGTCTCCTTCCTGTGGGAAATATTCAGAAATGGAACTTTCGTGTGCTGGAAAAGGAGCTCGCCTGCGAACGACATGACAGTGAAGATGAAGTGAGGTGTAAGGAACGTGAGATGAGCTTGAATGAAACCAAACAGGTTGATACATTGATTACGTAAGAAAATTATTGCTGCTCCTCGCTATCGCATGAGGCCAGCGAATTATGCGCGGCAGGTAGCCCGCGCGTTTGTGAATCATTCTTCAACACGCGCATTTCAGACAAGAGCACCACTGCGGGCAACTACCCGGGCGAAAAAATCGTATGCGGAACTTCCTGACGCGCACTTGCTCCCTGATGGTACTGTCGCTGTTCCCCTGGACGAGTGGTGGTCGGGAACAAGCCGTGCGTGACATTATTATTAATACTTCATCCGAAGAATAATGCAACTTCCAGCGCGTGAAGGCAGGGAGTCCTTGCATTTGAACGAAACCAAACCTGAGGCTGGTCCCAGTAGCCTGGACGCGCATCCCCCCTCTAGTTCTCCAGTGAAACGGCGAAAGAAGGTCGAAAACGAATCTCCAGGTATCTCGTCTCATCATGCGCTCCCCGACCTGGGCTAATCAAGTCCTCTGAGATACATCAGCCCCGAAGAGAACTAGGAAGAAGATCGCCGGGCCCGTTAATGATGACGGTATGCCCCATTTGACGCGTTCAGATGGAATCTGACATTTCCCCGAACTAGCATGTTCTCAACCGACCGAAAAACACGCTATATCGAATTCTACGCGTGGGTGTTTTCTCAACACACATGTGAGGATATGGCCCAGGCTCCCTCGCAGAACCAGAATCCACCCCCTCCGGTCGGCGCAAAATGAAAACAAGCACCGAAGGGAATGACAGTGTCGATCCGTCGGGTAGGTCCGATGTAGAAGCCGTGGTTCATCGTTGGTTGAAGGCCGGCAGAACCCCCCGTCCGGAGAAAGAGGAAGAAGGTGTCAGAGGATGAACCGGACCCTGGTACGTTGATCTGTCAAATCTTGAGATGTATCGTCTCATTCGGCTGTAGAGATCGTGTCTAAAGTTAGTCTACCCCGAGAAGTGCTTGATAATCTGGACCGTTTCCCGCATTGCATCCTGTTAACACGGGTCGGCAAATTCTACGAGGTGAGACTCACTGGACGGTCCTCGGATGACGTTTCCTCAACCCAGCGCAGTCATACTTCGATCAAGCTTACGAGGTCTCCAAGTCACTGAACATCAAGCTTGCCTTCCGCAAGTGGGGTGGAGGACAGATTCCTTTCTGCGGGTTTCCGCTGCTGCATCTGGACAAGTACCTCAAAGTGCTAGTGCAGCAACAGCGCAAGTTCGTTGCGTTGTGCGAGGAATTTCCACGCTACGGGGCCCAGGGGACCGTCACTTTCGACCGGCGTGTTGCTCGTGTGGTAACACCAGGGACACTGATTGACGAGTCGTTTCTGAACCAATACGAGAACAACTTTTTGCTTGCTGTTGGTACGGCTGACGAGCGAGTTGGTCTCGCTTGGATCGATGTTTCAACGGGCGAATTCTACTCGAAATCAGTAGACATCAACAATCTGCGAGATGAGGCTTCACGCATCGGACCGCGAGAAATCGTCCTCAACCGTTCGCTCGAACCGTCGAGGCTGGCCACCATCAGAGCGCTCCTGAGCGAAGAAGAGTGTTGCGTGTCGTTGAGAGACGTTGGAACCACAGCGGCCCCCAATGGACACGATCTCGAGCAGACTCCCGTGGACGACGTGATCAGCTCGGAAGAACAGCAGTCAGCCATTCCTCTGGCCACTGACTACACTGACGAAGAGCATTCCGCCATTCAAGTCTTGACGGCGCATCTGCACTCCAGTCTCCTCGATCATATGCCGCAGCTTGCGATGCCTGCTCGCGAGAACTCTGCGGCTCGCATGCAAATCGACTCGCATACCATCAGGGCACTGGAAATCCGCGAGAGCATTCGCGAAGGCGGCGTCACAGGAAGCCTGATCAGCACAGTCAAGCGGACGGTGACTGGCAGCGGCACACGCTTGCTCATGCGATGGCTGTGTGCGTCGTCTTCTCCGCCTTTCTGCTGCAGCCTTTTTCTGACGCTGAGAAAGGTTCTCCGAGCACCTCGTTGTCAGAAATCAACGCCCGTCAGGCTCTGGTTGCTTTCTTTCACCAGCGGGATCACTTCCGCGCTGATCTCACCGCTGCATTAGCAAGTTCGGAGGATGCCGGGCGGATCGTGCAGCGCTTCCTGCTCGGCCGAGGCGATGCCAACGACTTGCACGCGGTCAACTCCACAATCGGAGTATGGAGGAATCTCGCCAGTCGCATCATGCAGGAGAGAGATCAGGAGATGGCAGAGACGGCCCGTCAGTCGATGGAGTTCAAGGCCGACGAATGGGCCAGCATGGATGCTCTGATCGGAAGACTCTGCGATCTGAGCGAGCTTTCTGCTCGGATTACCTCTGCGTTGAAGCCGAAGGAGCCCGGGAATCAATCCGGAGGTCAGCATGCATTTGAAGGAGATGATGCCGAGGTCCCCGAGAGCGACGTTACGAAGCCTGCCTGGAAGTTCGGCGCCACTGGATGGACTATCAGACCTGAGTAAGATAAACTAAATTACTCTCATCCAGGCTGACTAGTTTGTGCCAGATTCTCGGAAAAGCTCTTATCTCTCCACACGACGCTCGAGGACCTGCTCAACCAGAGGGAGCGACTGCAAGCGGACCTGCAGCTCACATACGGTGAAGAGATCTGCTCGAGCTTTACGTGACTTGTAAATGCTAATGTTCCCCAGATGCTCCGTCTCTGACCTTGCGATCATCGCCAGCGCATGGGATGCACGTCCACCTGCTCAAGGCCAAGCGCGATCGAACCAAGATCAGTCAAGACCCGGACTTTGTCGGCATTGCTGAGAGTGGTAGCACGAAATGCTACTTCTATCCGGTATCGTGAACCGTCTATATCCATGATCTCCGACGACTGAGCCTCTACCAGAAATGGGCACAGCTCGGCGGGCAGATCGTGGAGACGACGAATGCTCTGCTCGTAGCTGAAAAAGAAGCGTTTGAATCGCTGCGGGCCGAGGTGAGATCCGGTGCCTCCGTTGCGCGCGATTCAATCAACAATACCCACAGGTCAACAGCCACACAGCGCAACTGCGGCGCAACGCGCGTGTCCTTGACGAGCTTGATGTCACACTCGCGTTTGCCAGTCTCGCGAAAGAGATGAACTTCGTGCGACCTGATCTCAGTGCCGAGTGAGCTGCCATCTGTGAATCAGGATCACGTGCTGAATGCGATCCAGGCCGGAATACACTGTGGTGAATGGACGGCATCCGACTGTCGAGCTGGGCCTGCTGACGAGTGGCCGGGTGTTCACCCCAAACTCGGTCGAGCTGACATCCACTTCACGGCTACATATCATCACAGGGCCGGTGAGCAGCATCGCAGTCCAAGCGTCAATCCTCTGACTGATCCCTGGCAGAACATGGCCGGGAAATCGACTTTCCTGCGCCAAACAGCGCTGATCGCGATCCTCGCGCAAACCGGCTCGTTCGTTCCCGCTGACGCAGCGACCGTGGGCATCGTCGACAAGCTGTTTTCGCGGGTCGGGGCCAAGGACGATCTGTTCCACGACCGGAGCACGTTCATGGTCGAGATGCTGGAGACGGCGGAGATTCTCTCGCGCGCCACGCCGCAGAGTCTGGTGAGCGTGGATTCGAACGACTGAATGTAGACTTACGCCTGGGGATCAGGTGATCATGGACGAAGTGGGCCGAGGGACGACAGTCACTGACGGGCTTGCTATTGCGTTTGCGACTGTGCACCATCTGCTTAAAACGAACCAGTGCCGGGCGCTGTTTGCGACCCACTTCCACGAACTGGCTGACATGCTCGGGTACGCTTCGGCCGATCCCGCGTTTGAGGGCGTGGATTTCTTCTGCACACAGGTGGACGAAACGGAGGCAAGCTGTCCTCTTCCGCTGTTTATTTCCCGGTCGATGACTGTTTCTAGGATGACCATTTCGCGTACTCGTATCGCCTGCAGCCTGGCGTGAACCGCAACAGTCACGGGATCAAAGTAGCTCAGCTCGCTGGCATGCCTCAACCGGCCATTGCCGTCGCTCAAAAGTGTCTGGCCAGTTTGCACGACAGGTCGACCCGGAATGCATCGGATCCGTCCGAACTGAGATCATTGGGCCTGGCTTTGCTCTCGCCATCCACTTGATTAGACGTACAGACTAGAATATACTTTTTTGTCTAGCGGGGCTATATTACTTCAGTTCATCTGCGACCTGATGTAATTCAGCGCTGAGCCAGCCGCGAACCACTTGCACTGGTCGGCGGACATCGTGTGCTTCGTCTCAATCTCAAAGCTCTGGCCGTCCCGTGTCGTCACTTTGAGCGTGATCTGCGCCCCAGGGGTCCCCTTGAGCAACTCAGGAAGGCCCACCGTCTCAATCACATCCCCCGAGCCGATCCGAGAGTAGTCTGCCTTGTCCTTGAACCACAGCGGCAGCACGCCTTGTTTCTGCGCAGCTGTGTCAGGGGACATCCTGGAACACGTAACCCGGGACATACCTTGAGATTGGTCTCGTGGATCCGAGCGAACGAACGGGCGACAATCAGATTGCATCCGTAGAACCGGGGTTGCAGCGCCTATCCCAGTGTGTGTGTCAGAGTCGATGCGACACCGGGAGTGACTCGACGCACCGCATGTTCACGCGCACTGCCCTCGCCGTAGTTGTCATCCACGATCAGTGCCCACGGCTGGGCCCGCGCCTTGAAGCGTTTGGCGACGCCCGGGATCGTATCCGTGCTGGAGACGCCCGCGCCTGCATCGTGATCGAAGGCCACATTCACATCTCCGCCCTCGTCGTTGACAGCGGTGATCACTGTAGAAATTGGCGTTAGCAGGGAGATGGGGGGAGATGGCTGTTACTGACACAGATTCTCAGAGATGTTGGTCAGATGTCCTGTGGTCCGATCAGTTCCTCTATCCTAAACTGCGAACGAGCTGTTAGTACCCTTGTATTTTAGCCACGGGCCCTGCGAGACAGATCAGCTCCGATTGGTGTTCGCCAAGGGTATACACCACCACTCACAGCAGCGGAGATGTGATCTGTGGTGCATTTCCCTCGCACCCGCATCAGCACTTTCATCGGCAGAAGCTCCGTGTTCCCCGCTTCAAAGTGGGTCTTGAACGGCTCGAGCAGCTCCAGCCGCTGCGACGTCGGGCTGATGATGATCTCCGTCTCCGGCTGGGGCTCGGGCGACGCCTGAGGATAGAATGCCTCCCGTCCCAGAGTGAAGCCCTGCGAAGGCAGATCGTCACCCTTCGGAGCCGAGAAACGGAACGCCTCGCCGGACGGCAGCGAAATCGAATCCGTCATCGGGTTGAACGACAGTTTCCCTGAAAAGGCCATAGCAGTAACAATGGTAGGTGAGGCCAGGAAGTTCATCGTGAGCCGGTTGCCGTCATTGCGCGACTTGAAGTTCCGGTTGAAGCTCGTCAAGATCGCTGCGAGACAGTCACTGACGTGCCCATCGTCAAACAAACACCCGACCCACCATTCTCCTCCTCTTTGCGGTCGTCGCGTTTCCACTGCCCGATGCAAGGTCCGCAGGCGTTGGCGAGAACAACAGCCCCAACGTCCTCAAGCGTCGATGTCACCTGATCGCGCTCCATGGTCGCTCGAATCTGTTCGGAACCGGGCGTGCAGAGGAAGGGAACCTTGGTCGTCAAGCCCGCCGATTTGGCTTGTCGGGCGAGATCAGCGACGCTCGTCTGTGCGCCGATTCAGTCTGTGAGCGCTGGACTTGTCTTCCTGGGAGCGCGCTCACCATATCTTGGTAGGAGCTGTTTGTGCACGAGCCAATCAATCCGGCAGACAGTTCGTCCTTCCATCCTTGCTCCTTGACGAGAGCGCCGAACTTGGAGAGCGGAGTTGCGAGATCGGGAGTAAATGGTCCATTGATGTGTGGTTCCAATTCGGACAAGTTCTGAGATTGCTCAGGTGTATGCAAAACAGCCAAAGAGGAACTGCTCACGATTTCGATAAGTTGGTCATACTCGGCGCCTTCATCGGCACTGAGGAATCCCTGTGCCAAAGCCTGGTCGGCTGCTCGAGCGACGGGTGCTCTTCCGGTGGCAGTCAAATAGGCCCGCATGTTGGGAGTATACGGGAACGTAGATGTCGTCGCACCGACCTCCGCACCCATGTTTGCGATGGTAGCTAGGCCTGAATGATCGATCGTCAGGAAGAGTTCCGCCTGACACGACACAACGAAGAGCTCACCCGTGCAGGACTGATCGAAAACCCCGGGTCCGAAGTACTTGATTCAAATACTGAGTGAGTCTAAAACACAAGTCGAGTTCGAGGCCTACCTCGAGAATCTTCCCTGTCCCACCCTACAAAGACTGTCAAACGTAATCCAGTCAAGAACAACAGCAGAGACACGTACACGAACAGTCAACTTCCCAGCCAAGTGCAGAATCAAGTCCTTCGGAGACACCCAAGGGCTCAGCTGGCCCTTGAGGTGTATTCCGACAATCTCCGGGGCTTTCAACTCCCATGGCGTTCCCGTCATGGCATCGACAGCATCTGCGCCACCGACGCCGATGGCGAGCATTCCGAGACCCCCGGCATTGGGCGTGTGCGAGTCTGGGCACAACAATTAGCTCGTGGGCATCCAACCATCTCACGATAATCTCCATACCGGTACCAAGCCTGTAATAGTATTATTTAATTAGCAAGACGGATCTTCAGAGTGGGAACGGGCACGAACATGAGCATCCCTGGCGCTGCGTAGTTTTCCAGCACGATCTGGTGGATGATCCCTGCGCTTTTCAGGAATTCCCTCTCTGCCTGGAACTGGACCAAACCCTACCGGATCCCGGACCCCAAAACTCGATTCCGTATTTGCGCGCAGCACTCTCGAGGAAATCGAACACTTCCTTGTTGGTGACGATGGAGCGCTATCACAAGGCGTTGGTTTCGCAGGTTCGAGCCGCCAGCCAACCAACAACAGCACACACCTCCAGGTCCGATTCTGCTCCGTCCACCGCCTGAATGAGGTGGTCGCAGTGGATACTAACGGGGACGACCGATTTAGAGAGACCGGCGCTCATGAACTGCAGCAGGGCCATCCTAGTCCGGTCATGAGGGGGGAGTAGTCAGAGTCACAGGCCGAGATACATACTGCGCCGAGGCATCCTGCATTGCGACGCGTTCAGGATTCAACTGGAGGTACGCATGACCCCGCAGTCTGCCTCCTTCTGCGATGGGTTTGCTGGGGTCACAGAGGTGACTATAGAGAATCTTTTCCGCGAGGGTGAGCTTGTGCTTCACGTGCTTGCGGACCTGCGCAAGGTTTTGAATCAGGGTGGGGTACGGCGGGGTGATCGAGGCGCAGTTCTTCTCAGTGAGAGACGCATGTGTCGCGAGTAGACGCGTTCCGAGACGCGACTTGCCCCGCAGACTGTGACTCAAGGACATGGCTGAGACCAAGAGCCAATCACGGAGTGGAAGTCAGTCAAAGATGATTTCGGCCGAAGACAGGCCGATAGATCCGATTATGTGAGATGTAGATTAAGATTAGATGATTTGCGGGGTATGTGTTTACTATTAATGAGTGACTACCACAGCGGCTGCAGGCCGGTATCCTTCCATCCTTGTGCTCGGGCTTCCCAGTACCCACCGACATATTCCCATTCCTCGCCTACTTGTCGGAACCACCTTGGCTGTGTATCGCGTCCTGCGCGTCTACGATCTCTCTGCGCCTCTTCCACTCTACTTTTTTCGCTTTCTGCCAGATCGAGGTTCCCTTCCTCGAGAGCCCGGATGTCCGGCCGAAGCCTCGAGTCGGTCGGTGGAAGTCTGCCTTCCAGATCGCGCGTGACTTCGTTCAGGCTAATCCCAAATGTCGTGAACCCGTAATATTCCTGGGTGTCTTTCGGGTACGGCGTGACTCGCCACAGAATGCGGAAGTGTGAGTCGTCCAATTGCTGGGAGATTTGATCGTCCCATTTGCCTTCTAGATGCGTTACCGTCTTCCCAGATGCCGCGTAGACAGTCGCAGAGACGAGATTGGATGCTCCGAAGTACCCGCTGGGTTTGAACTCCACGGCGCATCGTTCGCCAGAATTCGTATTCTCGATGACCATCTTGCCTACGTGCTCGAGATACTTGGTGCCGACCATGATATTGCGCATGAAAGACGACGGCTTCTTCCTGTAAACATCGCATCCAGTCAGTTGCGCTCAGCAGCGTTGATTGTGACCACTTACCACTCGTAACGATCTTCGCCGATGACTACAATCGTTGAGCCGAGTGGGATGACTTCGAGACTCTTCCCTGTGGCTAGTTCAGTTATGATCAAACGACAAGACCATCCCAAACCCCAAAATTTGGTTTTGCCAGCAGAAGTGGAGGTTAATTCCCAGTGGTCGCCCTGAGCGTGATATGCCATCTCGAGTGGATGGTGTCGAACCTTTTCGGCTATGAACTTCATCCGGGGGTCTTCAAACGTCTCGCCCAGCATTGGATTGCTATCCTATCATGAGTATCATCTTGATGAAAGAGACACTACACTCACAATCCCTTTCTCCCGGTGCGGTAGCGCGTATGTGCATATCCAGAGACAGCAAAGGCTGCTACGTAGCACAACCTCTCCACGGAATCTTGACTCGCAGCGGCTAGATTCAACAGATCGTAGTATTCAACCTCCTCAGCAGCGCGCTGGAGTAGTGACAATGGTCTGAATGCAATGTTAATCAGCATATAATCCATCCAAAGTTCCTCTTACTCGTTGAATGTCACGGGGAAGGCGATGGTCGAAAGATCCTTGCCGACATTTTTCTTCAGCACGGCGAAGAGACTGCCTTCATCACCTATTGGCCGGGCAGGAAGCTGTGCTCTCCGGTTGATCTCGACCGGCGACTGTTCTGGCTCATCTGCGATATCCGTATCAATGCTGGAATGCCCTAGACTATCCGTGCTGGCGTTGACGATCTTGCTGGGCTGCTGAGACTCGATTGCAGGCGGAACATCCAGTACAAACTCTTCAGCACCATCGCTTTCGGCATCGAACCACTCGACGCCGCTGTCGGTCGTTGTCGTCGTCATGCTGGACATTCGCTTGCCAGGATGTGGGGTAAAGAGCGAAGTCGCAGGGGAATGTGTCCAGATGGGGTGGGCTTCGTCCTCTTCTGCCGTTGCCGGGAGTATTGGCGATGCCCTAAGTGATTGTGCATTGACATCCAGCAAAGCCAACGTGTGGATAGATTTGAGAAGCATTGCGTGCTGGGCCTTGAGACTCTCGAGAACGTCACAGATATGTTGTACAGGGGATCTCTCTAGAGGTTCTGATGCAGTCCCAGGATCGCCGTCGTGCATAGAAGAGTTCTGGGAGCTTCTCTTGAAGAGGCCAAACACAGCATGCTTGTCGTGCTTGTCATGCTTGTCGACTTTCTCGTACTTCTCCTTCTCGTGTCGAAGCCTCTCCTTCTCTTGCTTCGATCTGTGTGACTTCTTAGCATCCTCTGGAGGTAGGCTGTGGATGGCCTCTTCAAGCTCTGCCAAAGTCTGAAATGCGGTCAATTGACGCGGGCTAGTCTGCATCTGAAAACTCACCGATGCCATCTCTTCGAGAATTGCGCCAGACTTGTTCACACTTATGCTGCCCTGACGCGTTATGTGTCGCACGCTGGCAGACTTGCGCGCTTCCGCTGTGGGTATGAACTTGCTGCATTTGGTTCAGTCCCAATACAGGAGAAAGCGATCATGACACCGACCGGAACGCAGTCATCCAGGCCTCGAAATCTTCCGTGCTCAGGCACTTGATATGAAACGTAGTCGTAGAATCGATGTGAATGTCTTTGCGCCCGGGGGCCGTTGAGACTGCGGAATGGTGCAGGGAAACTTGGTCGCGGATAGGCTGGTCGCGGTCGAATGCATAGACCAGTATCCCAGATTGGTACAGCGTGAAGTATCTACGGGCGAAGCCTGCATGGGGCTCGTGATTGAGGTGTACTCAGGAGGAGGTGCACTGACCTTGCATCTTCTTTCTGCGTTTCTTTAGCACCCAACCTTCGCGAATGACAGCACCAAAAGCAGACGACGCAGAGGCTCCCACCAAGGCCGCCATCGTCGTGCTCATGGCTGCCATCGCGGTAATTAACTTAGGGACTCGGAGGAAGCGGCGGCGTGTAAGATCAAAGGACTGTGCTGGATTGGCCCAAAGGGGTTGATGGCAGACGATCGGGACCGGTGTCGGTGACCGAGCCGGCAAGGGCCGAAAGCCGGCGACTCTCGGGGTTGTGCATGAGCCAGGCAGTCGCACAGGCGATGACGCACGGTGATGGATTATAATCTAAGCGTGAGGATTGGGTGAACAGATGGATACCCAAGGGGAAATGCTTATGGGAGACCGATGGGTAGAGATGGCTAAATACGAGATCTCTTATGACAAAGATTTTTGCCCCAGAATATTTAAGCAAGATGGCGCGGTGATCCCGGTCCGGATCTCTCCTTACCTCTTACCCTCACCACCCATCTCCAATTACAAGCAATGGCAACGTACGCCCTCTGCTCGCGGTCTTTCATCCTGTCTGATCCACCCCCGATAGCGGCGATATCGGTCTCATTGGTTTGGCCGTCATGGTGCGTCGCGTTCCAGGTCGCCATCACCTAGCAATCTAACGTTTCCGTAGGGCCAAAACCTTATTCTCAACATGAACGACAAGGGATTTAACGTCGTCGCGTATAACCGTACCACCTCCAAGGTCGATGCGTTCCTTGCTAATGAAGCCAAGGGTGAGTTCCCATCTTGACCGAAAGCAGCCGATCATGTTGCCAACATGAATTTTAGGGACCAAGATCCAGGGCGCGCACTCCATCGCTGAGCTCATCTCCAAGCTCAAGAAGCCCCGCAAGATCATCTTGCTCGTCAAGGCTGGCCCTGCCGTCGATGACTTTATCTCTCAATTGATCGCCGGCGGCCTGGAGCCTGGCGATATCGTCATCGACGGTGGAAACTCCCACTACCCCGATTCTATCCGTCGCACGCAGGAGCTCGAGTCCAAGGGTTTCCTGTTCGTTGGATCTGGTGTCTCTGGTGGTGAGGAGGGTGCCCGTTACGGTCCCTCTCTGATGCCTGGTGGATCTACGGCTGCATGGCCCGCCATCAAGGAGATCTTCCAGAAGACCGCTGCTCAGGCTTACGGCGAGCCCTGCTGTGACTGGGTTGGTGAGACCGGCTCGGGTCACTACGTCAAGATGGTCCATAACGGCGAGTCGCGATCTTTCTTGGTCGCGCTGGATATTTATTTGGGGCTCAGGCATCGAGTACGGTGACATGCAGCTGATCGCTGAGGCCTACGACATCCTCAAACGTGGTCTCGGTCTCAGCGAGGACGAGATCGCCGACATCTTCTTGAAGTGGAACAAGGGCGTTCTTGATTCGTTCCTCATCGACATCACCGCCAACATCCTCAAGTTCAAGGATGATGACGGTGAACCAGTCGTGGCGAAGATCCTCGACAAAGCCGGGCAGAAGGGTACCGGCAAATGGACTGCCATTGCTGCCCTTGACGCAGGAACTCCCGGTCCGTTCTTAACCGTTGTATGCTTGGCTTATCTTATCGATGTCCATTTCAGTGACGCTTATTGGTGAAGCCGTGTTCGCTCGGTGTCTTTCGGCCATCAAGGAGGAGCGTGTCCGAGCCAGTAAAATCATGGACGGCCCGAAGAAGGAGCCTTTCCGCGGTGACAAGCAGCAGTTCATTGACGATCTGGAACAGGCGCTCTATGCGTCGAAGATCATCTCGTACACTCAAGGCTTCATGCTGATGCGTGAAACCGCGAAGGAGGTGCGTGTCTTCTCTGATTTGATTGTACTTCTTGTGGCTAACAAATTCTCAGCTCAACTGGAACCTGAACTACGCTGGGATTGCCAAGATGTGGCGTGGAGGATGCATCATCAAGGTGCGTCCCGGATCAGCTGAAGAGGCAGATCTAATTGCGCCCTCAGAGTGTTTTCCTGCGTGACATCACCGCTGCCTATGTCAAGACCCCCGAGCTTGAGTCGCTGCTCTTCGACGACTTCTTCGGGTCTGCCATCCGCACCGCCCAGCCCGGCTGGCGTCGTGTTGTTGCCCAGGCTGTGCTGTGGGGTATCCCGCACCCCGCTTTCAGCACTGCTCTTGCCTTCTTTGACGGCTACAGGAGCGAGGTTGTCCCTGCCAACCTGCTGCAGGCCCAGGTCCGGTTCCCTGAAATAGATTTTAGTGACCGCACTGACTTGGATTGTCACAGCGTGACTACTTCGGTGCTCACACTTTCCGTGTTCTGCCCGGGAAGGAGAACGACCGCTTCAAGTCTGGCGAAGACATTCACGTCAACTGGACTGGCCGAGGAGGCAATGTATCTGCATCAACTTATCTCGCGTAGATGCTTGGCTCATCCCTCCAGACGAAAGTCGTTCCCTTTCTTTAGATGGTGATAGAAGAAGCAGTGAAACGACAATCAAGTGTACGCCTATCCATGTCAAAACAATCAAATGAAATGTTGTCCTACCTGTCACGTGTCTATACCATATCGATAAGAGTCTCAGAGTACATCATTCCGCGCTTGGACTTGACCAACACCATCATGTGTGGTATTTTCTGCTGCGTTCGCAGCGCACGCTTCGACTCTCCCGACTTGAGCAACCTCTGTGACAGTTTGAAAGCGACCGACGCTGCTCGGGGTCAGTCGAGATGCATTGTCGTTTGTCGTTTTCGACAATCCATCTCTGCCTAGGGCCCGATTCACAGAGCACAAAACGAGTGGTCACACTGGACCGCAGCGTTTTAATCGATCTGTTTGCCTCAGAGCTGCATCTCCGGGGCTGCAGTCCAGTCCTTCAGCCTCATGAGCAGGACGGGAACATCTTGTGCTGGAACGGAGAAGTTGGATCGACACAATCTCGACAATATGCTGTCGCTGATACCTTTCTGCGAAGATATTCGACGGGATGAATGTCGGTCTCTCGCAAGCCCTTTTTTCTTCTTCTGAGTCCAGCATCCCAGGTAGCATTGGATGAGAACGACGGCACCCGATTGTTTGATTCGCTTCGGCAATTGGATACACTTCAGGCAGTCCATGATCTGTTTGCGACCATTGAGGGCCCGTAAGAGATTGTTTTGAACATGCGGAAAGAATCTGACGTTTCCACTTTCGGTAGATACGCATTCGTGTTCTACTCTGTACGCTTGGAAGTGGATGTCGGCCGAGTCAGTGACATAACCCCACTAGGCAGCCAAGCAGCGACTTTTCTTTGGCCGAGACCCACTCGGTCGGCGCTCGCTTCTCTTGCATCGACCCGACGCAAAAAATCCGTATCTCCTGATCTCGTCAGTTTCTCTGGGCCAGGATCCGAGAACGCATTTCGAGGAAGTCTCGACGGACCACCTTCACTGCATTGAACTAGATCGTTGGGACGATGTTAGTGTGTCATCTTTCGTCTCCGCTTGCCCGACCGACCGACTCAAGGGCGTGGAGAATTTCATGATTCGCCTGCGACGCACCGGAGGTTGTTATGTACTTGTTTCTCCACATCTTGACGTTACGTCGACTGATAATTTCAACTAGAGCGAACTGGCGAAAATTAACAGACAATTGCCGCCAGACGATCTGCCTATTGGGACTGATCATGCGTTGTTGACACAGCCTGTAGACGATTTGATTAGCTTGCTGGACCAAAGTGTGCGGCTTCAGATGCAGAACATACCGGCGCAGTTGAGAACGCATCTGAGAATTCTCGGCGCTCACTGATTTCTCGCAGACTAAACAAAGGTTTTTCAAGATTGGCTGTCCTGTTCAGTGGAGGCGAGTGCGAATAACAATGCGCGACATGCAGCGAGAGATCTCATTCGACAGGTATCGACTGCACGATTCTCGCATTCTTGGCGCATAGGTAATCAATCCAGCCGTTTGACATGGAGGCTTACAGGCCTTATAAAGATATATTCCTCTCGATGAACCAATAGATCTCCTCAACGTCGCATTCGAAAATCCGCGCAAGATCAAGTTCAGTGACAACCACCAATCGTACATGGTCCCAGATAGAGTGACTGGCCTTGAAGAGGTCGAAGAACTGCGGAGACTTTGCCCTCGAACTTGGAATTTTGCAAGTCTGGAGATTTGGAGTTGATACTTGACAATGACTCTCGTTTCAGGTCGAGATTGATGTTCCGTATGAGGTGATCCAATTTTGCCCATTACTGGCCATGATTGAACGATCCCTGGACAGGAATCCCAAGCGGCAAAGAGCGCTGTAGAGAACCTCATGTTTCCGAGCCGAACTGTGATGGATTTGGTCAGCATGGACTCCCGCTGTGGTGGAAATTGAGACTAACCAGACCCAGAGTCTGGCGTTAGCACTCTATTTTGCCTCCAGGGGAGTCGGTCTTGTCCAAGATGGGCCAGGAATGGAAAGACACAATTACACCTCCCCGGCGCGCGTGCTGTTGAACGGTCTAGGCTCTGACGAGCTGCTCGGTGGGTACGGACGGCATCGCAGCGTTTATGGATCCGGTGGGTGGAGTGCACTGGTCGACGAGGTGCGGTGTACTCCCACCGCATAGATCTTTTCATCGAGGCCCCTGCATAGCTTCAGCTGGAGATCGATCGGATACCACTGCGAAACTTGGGGCGGGATGACCGAATGATATCTTGTCATGGAAAAGAGGCGCGACACCCTTTCTTGTCTCTGGATGTGGTGGCTCGAGTGGCTGCGTTGCCGATCCATTTCAAGTTGGATCCACGCTTGGAGCTGGGTGTTGGTGACAAGATGCTTTTGAGGCTGACAGCTAAGAAGTTGGGATTATCCCAGGCCAGCAGTAGGAAAAAACGCGCTATGCAATTTGGCAGCCATTCCGCCAAAATGCACGGCGAGAGGCGCGGAGAAGCGGAGATTTAGACGAGTGGTCGTTGCACTGGATTATTTAGATAACTAAAGGGCTGGCCCAAGTTGTAGTTGTGAATTGGTGCATATCATTGCGGTAAGTCCAGACTGAAGAGTTACACTGTGGCGGCTTGTTTGGAGCCTGCCGAAGACGACGTGACCGTGATTTGAAGCGGCCGGCCGTGCCGCGAAACCCGCGTCCTCCCACACATTCTCTCTTATGGCGGCTCCCAACGCACTGCTAAAATATATCGTGCCCCTCACAGGGGCAGTCATGGTGGCTCGGTCTAGTCTCTTTGACGTTCCAGGAGGATACCAGGCTGTCATGTTTGACCGTTTCTCGGGAGTGCAAGAGCAGGTATGTGCTACCTTACTATGGTGTTTCCGTCCGCTCAACTCTGTGCACGGTCAGTCCAAGAAAGAGGGAACACACTTCCTGGTCCCTTGGCTCCAAAGAGCTATCCTGTATGACTGCCGAATCAAACCACGCGTTAGTTCACTCACACTCTATATCCCTGGACACCGGAACACCGACTGTCTGCGTCTAGAATATCTCTACAACCACTGGCTCCAAGGATCTACAGATGGTGACCATAACACTTCGGGTTCTTTCGCGACCAGACGACAAACACCTTTCCAAAATCTATCAAAGCCTGGGCTTGGATTACGATGAACGTGTGCTGCCGTCCATTGGTAACGAAGTCTTGAAAGCTATTGTGGCTCAATTCGACGCTGCAGAGCTCATTACTCAACGTGAAGTGGTGCGTATTTCTCCCTCTGGAACCCCGTGCGGTATCCGACGTTTGGCAGGTATCTTCGAGAATTCGCGCTGACTTGTTGCAACGTGCGGGGGAGTTCAACATAAAGCTCGAGGATGTGTCCATCACGCATCTTACCTTTGGCAAGGTCAGCAAAATTAAGCGGGATGATCGCGGCTCGTCTTGACTGAATCCCAACAGGAATTCACGCAAGCTGTTGAGGCAAAACAGATCGCACAACAAGGTTCGTGTCCCTGTGTCTCCCACCCACATATATGCTGCTGCTGACTGTCCATGTAGATGCTGAGCGTGCCAAATTCGTGGTCGAAAAGGTGCGCATCGCTACAAAATGGAGCTTGAAATCGTCGATTGACTGGCTGGTTTGCAGGCAGAACAAGAGCGTCAGGCTGCTGTGATCCGAGCTGAGGGTGAAGCTGAAGCTGCTGCCACCATCTCGAAAGCTCTCGAAAGGGCAGGGGAAGCGTTTGTTACTTTCCGCAAAATTGAAGCGAGCAAAGCAATCGCCCAATCCCTGTCGAGCAACCCGAATGTTAGTTATGTCCCTAGTAGTAGCGGTAATGTACTGCTCCAAGTCCCAAGTAAAAAGTAGGACTCGGACGCGTATCTATCATGAACTTGGCCTCTCAAATCATTTCGGAATTTTTAGGATGACGTTCTTTGTCACCTGATTGTGACTAATCACTCGTCACTAGCAAGCGCTGCTTTTGCACTCTGTCTCGACCACGCGCGCGTTGAAGGATCTCGGTTTCGTCCTTTTTCCTCTCTCTCTCTCTCGTCTCCTCCTCTATTTCCTTTATCTGACGGACTCTAATCCTCTGTCCTCTGTATTGCTCCCTCTGGTCCTTTTCGTACGTTCTTTTGACTGGTCCAAAAACGCACTCTCCAATCCAATAGATCATTCTCTTTCCTCTTCTATAAGTCAAACATGAATATGATGAGTGCGGCTGAAGCTCCGGTGGGTCATCTTTAATCCCGTCTGGATCTTTGCTTATCACTCATTCCAGCGACGGGCTCACCTTTACGTCGGAAACCTCAGTCCTCGCGTCACTGAGTACATGCTCACCGAGATCTTCGCCGTCGCTGGACCTGTGCAACATGTGAAAATCATCCCTGACCGCAACTACCAGCATGGTGGTCTCAACTACGGTTTCGTCGAGTACATGGACATGCGTGCCGCAGAGACCGCCCTGCAGACCTTGAACGGGCGCAAAATCTTCGATACCGAAATCCGCGTCAACTGGGCTTACCAGGGCCAACAGAACAAGGAGGACACTACCGGACATTACCATGTCTTCGTCGGTGATCTGAGCCCGGAAGTTAACGACGAGGTGCTCGGTAAAGCGTTCAGCGCCTTTGGTACCATGTCCGATGCCCGAGTGATGTGGGATATGAACTCTGGCAAGTCTCGTGGGTACGGATTCCTCGCCTTCCGCGACAAGACCGACGCGGAGCAGGCCATCGCGACGATGAACGGGGAATGGCTTGGGTCTCGCGCGATTCGCGTGAACTGGGCAAATCAGAAGACCCAAGGTGGTTTGCCGCAACCCGGCCTGCCGAGCAGCATGGCTGGAGCGATGTCGTCCCCTCGTCCCACCGGCGGAGTTTCGTCCCCCATCAGCATGGGCAGTGCCCCTGCCCCGATGAACTTCCAGGGTGGACCTCTGTCTTACGAATCTGTGCTGCAGCAGACACCAGCTTACAACTCTACCGTCTATGTTGGCAACCTCGTCCCATACTGCACCCAGGCTGATCTCATTCCGCTCTTCCAATCCATTGGTTATCTCTCCGAGATCCGGATGCAAGCTGATCGCGGTTTCGCCTTCGTCAAACTTGACACTCACGAGCATGCCGCCATGGCCATCGTCCAGCTACAAGGCCAGAACGTTCATGGCCGGCCTATCAAGTGCAGCTGGGGCAAGGACCGGGCCGACGGTGCCGTTGCCCAACCGATGAGTCCAACTACGGGCGCCACTCCCTACGGCAACATGGTGTGTATCTCTGATTTTCAAATTCTCGTCCCTGATCGTTGTCTTTCTTCAGCCCATGTATACTTTGCCCTCCGCTGCCTCCTATGGCCAGTATAACTTCAGTGGGTACCCCGGTTTCGCCAACCAAGCTGGCGCCGGTGCGCCTGGGTCTCCTGGCATGGGACAGCCTGGGGGTGGCGCGGCTTCTGGATTGGGAGGTGCCGGTCCCGCTGGCGCCGATCCCAATGCTCTCGCAGCTCAAGCTGGCCAGGCTCAGTGGGGTGGCGACCCCAGCTCGTACTACTCCAACTACTGGAGTGGTGAGTAATGGCACAACTGGGTCAGCTGCAATTGCTGATTCCGTTGCACAGGTTACTATGGTCAGCAGGGCCAGGGTGCTGAGTCTCAGATGCAAGGCGCTCCCTAAATGTACTAATAGATACTGAACTCTGCTCCTCTCCTTACCAAGTGTAGCTCCATCGTCACTGCATCACTTTTCTTTCTCTACCTTGTGTACTGAGCCCTTGTGTACTGAGCACTTTCTGATATTCTTGCCCTTTCATGCATGTATCTCCGATTGAAACAAAGAAAAGCGAGACACCTAGGATATATGTACAACACAGGGTATGGATGTTAGGCAATATCTGGCTCCTTCTCGTCCACGATCAACCATTCGGCGTCAGATCCACGGCCTTCTCCGCTGGAGATATGGTCCCATTCTTCGTCTCCGTCAGGATCTCCCCCTCCCCGGCATCCTCGTTTCCCGACAGTGACGATTGTGAGACAGAGTCGAGCCCATTCGTGGGATCTCCAGAATTACCGCGCCAAGTTAGGACTGAATGTCGCGAACGCATATTTTCGTACGCCTGGTCATTGGACTCGTTCATGGCGTTCGCCTCTACTTGCTTCGCATCCAACCAACGCTGAGAAGTTTCGCGTTATCCTTCTGTAGAATGGTGTTCGTTCTTCGATCTGCCCGAGCCCGAGCTGAGCAGCGTACTGATCTATCGTGCAAGATCTATAATAAGTCATGCAGACTTATGACTTCGCAGATATGACACAGGGAACAATAGTACGTACCTGGACCGTTCGATCCTTCTCAGCCATGAACTCGCTATGCTGCTCAATCTTGCGTCGGAGGACAACGACTTCGTCTCTCGTTTTC